AGTTCAGAGAGGGCGAGCGTCGATGAGACCGGTTCATAGAAGTCATGGGCGACTGTGGCAGTGACGTAGCGCTACAGGAGGATAATTTCCTCGGCTTCGAAAAGGTCGAGCCCGCAGTCGAACTGCTGTAGTCATCATCCGAGCTCTCGGGCTGCAAGGTCCTATTGCTGCTTGAAGGCCTCGATCGTGGCGAGACGGGTGGCACCAGACCCCGTGGAATATTGAGTCGAGAGGAGGCAGCATCGGTCAACGAATTTCCAGGTGATCCTGTCAGAGCCATACTAGACGGCGTGGCGGCATAAAAGCGAGGAGGCGCTTCTGGCACGACGCCCTTAGCTGTATCCTCCTGTGACGACTCCGCCTGCGTGGCTCCAAAATAGTCCTCGTCCGAGCTTCCTACTGGCGGTTCATTCTCTAGGGCACTATTCGCATCATCGTGAGGAGCATGTTCGTTGGCAAACTGTGGCACGCCGCTCAGACGAGGATGTTCAGACTGGGGACGGAACTTCGGCTCCTCCAGCTCAGGATTGGCTTTCAGCGTTGGCTGCCTCGTGAGATCATTTCCTCGCCCACTCCGTGAAGAATCATTTGAGGATGGGGAGCGAAAATAGCCCGGTCGAGGCTGCGATAACGACCGTGCGACACTAGCCGGAGGGAGCCTGCTCATGCGCCGGTCTCTGCGAGCCGATTCCTCTAGTTGTTTCGCCAAAAGCCGGCCCTGAGCCGCGAATGCATCCAGAGGCGAAAGCGTGGGAGGGATTTCACCGTCAAAGTGTTCAATGCGCGGCGAAGGCAGACCGCTCCGCAGAGTATCATGGGAGGGCGAGCGAAGTTCGCCAAAACGTGGCCGGGCGTCCATGGTAGCACAAAGGTGGTTTCAATTGGCTGAATGCGTGTATTTTGGGGGGTTGAGAAGAGCACAGACGTAGCCTAGGTTGCCTTCAATCAAATCATCTAGTGGTCTGCTACCGCTATTAACCTTGGATGGTTGAGCTTGGACTTCTTTTACGAATCGAAGTAGTTCGAGATAGTAGTCTGTAGCTGGTTAGGTTCAATGCGCGGGCGCGGGGAGATCCTTCAAGCCGAGAAGACGAAGGAGAGAGTCCTTTGATGGCTGGCACCGTATCAGACTCAAGAAAGGAATGACAGGCGCCGTGAGAGGAAAGAGGAAACGAGAATTGAAAAGAATAGGTCCAATGAGCCAGCCAGGTTTGTGGGGGAACAACAAGAATCGAAGTAATCGCGGCGGCAAAGGAGCGACAAATAGTTTGGAGTGAATATGGGGGCGAACGGGGGAGAAACGGTAATGATAACCGATTAGATCGTAGTGGAAAGAATCACAAGCCAAAGGGAGGGACGATGAACAAGCATCGTGGACTCCGATGGACGGGGTGGGAGAGGAGAAGTGAGAGAAAGAGAGGATCGGATGGATAACGAGAATGGACTGACTGACTTTGGACCAGGACGTCCAGATTATTGGTTTGAATCAACCCAACTGCAAAATAAGCCAAAGGGAGGTTTCCGTTGTTACGCCCTGACGATCACCAAACAAACGAGGGGCGCCTGCATTGACAGTCACTCTGGGCAAGTCCCCACGCGGAGTACCAAGTCTGACGGTGGTATCCAGTCGTATCAAACGTCCCCTCCGTATGGTCAGTACCGGGCCGTGACACCGGTGATCACGGGGGGTGGCTTCCTGTAAGCCCTAGCCGTAGCAAGGCATCACCCATCTTCGAGCCGTACGAAACAAGCGGATTTCAAGGAGAAAACGCGTACATCATTACCGTCATGCCGTACCAACAACTTATACATACCAACGGTACCGAGTCAGGGGTTCCAGACGAACTGCTTCCAGAAATTATATCAAAGTTACTACATACTATTTATTGAAAGGCTAAACATCCTTTCAAATCTCCGATTCTTGGAATTGATCAGATGCAGACCATAGCCCTACCATAACCTTAGCCCCTACTATACACAGAGTCCTGGGCGTACGTGTCATAAGATTAAAGGCCAACGTCCCATCCAAAGCTTCTAGAATTTTTAACCCGACAGCCGGAAGGCGAAGGGCTTTAGTTTGGTTCACAATGTGTCGTTGGTGGAGCAGCCACTCTATTTATATTCACTTGCAAATTTTCCCGAAAGTGTATCCATGGACAACTGCGACAGACTCGGTAAGAGAGCAACATTTTCGGTTTTATTTTACTCTATTTTATCTAAATTATTATTTGTTTTTGGTTTTTTTTTTGGGGGGGGGGGGGGGTTTTTTTTTTTTTTTTTTTTTTTTTTTTTTTTTTTTTTTTTTTTTTTTTTTTTTTTTTCTCTCTAACTTTATGTGTCCTCAAGACTCAACCGTTTTATTTCATTGCCTGGGGAATCTCAACCCACTTTCGACCACACCATGGAATTCTCATGACTAAGTGCCCTTGATGACAATGGTTGTGATCTGACTTGTTATGATGCTCTTCCCCTCGACACAGATTAAGATAATCTGGAGGTGAACTTAGAATAGCAGCAAGTATGACAACATGCAGTAAGGAGTCGAATCTTACTTTGCTGCGCATCGTCCATCTGGGTATAATGGCACTGTGCCTTGTTTCTCAGGCGCCCCCCCTGTCTCATGATCCGATCACCCCTAACCTCCAGAGGGAAAGTGGGAAGAGATCACCCCAAATCACAGAGAAAGTTTCATGATGATGATGAAGAATGATGAAGAATGACGGTCCCAATTTCGATCCTCTTCTCTACTTAGTTAGATGGAGAGGAGTTACTACTACTCCTCCTCCTCTTTCCCCTCCTCTTTTACTGCCGGAAAGATTACTCTATTGATCTTGTGGTCCGAAAATAAGTACAACATTGCGTATACAAGGAACGGTTGCACGTACGATGGTCTTACACTCTAGGTGCATGAACACCCGCAGAGGGCGCTGTGATTGGTGTGGTCGAGTGGATTTGGTTTATTAGTGTTATTATTATTAACAAGTATCCCGTCAGGAACCACTCGAATCCATAAAATGTCCTGGCTCCTGGCTTCTGCACCACCCCAGTAAAACATTGACTCGGTCTGGTTTCAATTGAGGGTTAATTGCTTCCTGCTACGGACTTACACCTCTCGGTTGCAGGTTGCTATGGTCTTAGCACTTACACTTCCTCCCTATGTCAAGCGGAAGATAAGTGGGACGCAGCGGTAGCTCTGTGCATGCGACCTTCATTACCTCATAGGGAGAATGATGGACATACTAGCATATCTTGGCATTCTGAAGATAGTGAGATATAACAGGCACCGACGCAGCAATGCTGAGTGATGACACCACTTCTTTCCCCGCTCAAAGCTCACTATTGTTTGGGACTTAATCTATCCATCTGCATTGCATATTAAGGTGGCATGCATGCATTTTGGATGCGGTGAAATCCTCCGAAAATCTCTTCTAGCTACTAACGGAATCCGTCCACTGTCCGGCCACTTTTTGATCCTTTTCTTGACTAACCCATGAGCCTGACCGTTGCATTACAAGCGGACTAACCCTACTAAGGTCCATGGTTATGGAGAATCAAGACGTGCGCCCCAAGGTAGCATCAACACTAGCTCCCCGATAAAGACAAGGTCGAAAGCCAAGTGGCCGCACCAAAATTCCTTCACGGGCTGATCCCTGACGGGGCTGATTTGCTGTGTACATTTTATATCGTGGCTGAGATCCTATCGCTCACTTTTTCTTGCCCGATTTTAGGCCCCCCCAAATATGATTTACTAAACAAAGCACGCTTCTTTCTTATAATAACCGCAGCAGACCACAAAGGAGGAAACACGCACATGGAGAAAACCACCACAAAAATGCGCAAGCTTCCCCCCTTCACCAACCTTATGGGCGCAGACCCATCCCTTGACAGTCAACACTGCTTCGAAACATCCTGGCTCCTCCCACCACTAGCCTACGCCATTTTTCGCGGTGCGATCGCCCTCTACATCTTCGTGACCATCTTCTTCATCTGGGGCTGGAACGGCACCCATGGCGACCGCGCAGCTATCGGCCAATCCTTCAGCTACTTCACCTGGCTGACATACTGGGGTCTGGGCTTCTACCACATTTTCGCATGCATCCATACCACCCTTTATGCGCTGACCGGTCGCTCGGTGCTCTTCGATCGCTGGCCCCGTGGCCTGCGCGCCCTCCACAGTCTCTACTATACGACCATCACGACGTTCCCGTTCCTCGTGACGATCGTTTACTGGGCGATTCTGAATCCGTCTTGGTTCGACGTGACTTTCAATGCGTGGCAAAATGTAGGTGTTATCCGGTCGCCTTTGGTGTTGGTTGCGACTGTCGCATTTCTTTATCAGCGCCCAACAGTGCTGCACGAGCGTAGTAATTAACTAACTGATCCAATTCAATAGCTCTCCCAACACGGCCTCAACTCCCTCTACGCCATTCTAGAGATCATCCTCCCGGCTACCAATCCCCACCCGCTGATGACGTTCCCGTTCCTCGTGTTTCTGCTCCTCCTTTACGTCTCTCTTGCCTATTTGACGTACCACACTCAGGGCTTCTACACGTATTCGTTCTTGAATCCTGGTGAACATGGAGAGAAAAGTGGCAAGGTCACGGCTTATTGCTTTATCATTCTTGCGGCGATTGTGATTATCTTTGGCATCACCTGGGGTGTTATATGGTTGAGGAGGAAGTTGACCGGGGGTAAGGTGAAACGGTCGAAGTTTGATCATGAGAGACCGATTGAGATGCGGGAGACTGAGGTCTAGGATTGCTGGTTATTAACTCGTAAAAGGTGGGGTAATGGGTTGTAATTCCTAATGTTTAGTCCATAGATATATTATGGTATTTGCTAGGGGCGGAGTTGGCGCATATGCGAACATCACTCGGTTAGATAAGTTAAAAGACATACAGGGAAAAAGAAGGGGAGAATGATAAATGGGGTTTCAAACGCCAAGAGGGAAGAGAATCAATCGTATCCAAAGCAATCATAATGCCGCGCTATCGATGACTTTAAACCTTTTCCCAGCTCGTCTCACTGCTGCTTCCACTGGGACTTTGGTTTGGTGTGATAGGGCCACTTCTCAGGCCCAGCATCCACCCTACCAAGAAGTTCGGGGCCCAATCGCCCACGATACTGTAAGACCATGCACCGCGCCCAGCATAGATGACGGGCGCTTTCGATTTCTTTCTTCCAAAGATATCCTTGGACGCGGGCTCCAGAGCATCCAGCACGGCGTAATGAAGAGTCCGAGCATTAGATCCACGTATCATGCTGGGTCCCGCAGATGCAACGGGTCGCTGTTCAATGCTAGAAAGATACTGGGAGCCGTAGAGGGATCGCTGCTGCGTGGTCCAGGTGAGCACTTCGGTTCCAGTGATGTGACTCTGTGCGTTTCGGTACTGAGGACCAAGGTCGATGTTTCCAAGTTTCAGCTCCACAACATCGATGTTGCTATGCTGCAAAAGACATAACTCTCGCCGAAGCGAGGTAGCAAACCCTGACAAGGCACGTGCTGTGGTGACTTCTGGGCTAATAAACGGAGCAGATAGTGACGAGGATATCGAAGGGTAGATTAGGACAATCGTGCTATTGGTGTTGCGGGCAGTAAGAAGAGGAAGAAACAGCTGAGTAGTCAAGATGGGCGATAAGAGTCGAGTATTGATTGTATCAGCCCAAGAAGATGCTGGAATGGTGGCTAGGGGACCGGTCACATAGTTGGGTGAAGGTACGAGAATAAGTCCGCTCAGCTGGCAAGTGTGCGGCGGCACTCCAGGCATTGGCCATTGGGGTTGGGTGATTAAAGAATGGATTTCCGTCAATGATGGGTGAATGTCAGATGTCGGTGAAGGGGTCTTATAATTTGATCAGTGGATTTTCTTCGATTCTGGGATATCCGACGACTTACAGCCGTTAAATCAAGCCAAAGCGGTCTGATATCCATCCGATTTTCCGACTGAACTAACTGCTCCTCATCCGCCGATGAAACAGTAATATATACGATGTAGCCCCGACGTTCGAGATCAGTAGCAATCGCCTTCGTCATCGGTTCGTGAGGGGACCCGGCAACAACTATCGCAAGACATTAGATGGGTTTGTCACAAATGCAGAATGAATATACTTGTCCCTGCAACATACCCACTATTTCCTTCCGAGCGCCATTTCCAGCTCGCCGAGCCTTCCTCCGTCTACCACCTAGCTTTTTGTTGCCAAGATACAAAAGGGAAGTAGTCCCGACGAATGCTAGGATTGCGGCACTCCATGCTCGATTCCGAAGAACCCAGTCATGCGCGCGATCAACGAGAGACTGGGAAGCACGAACTCTCGAAGGTGGTGGTGTGGGTCGGACCGAGGAAGGCAACCATGACTGGTGAGAGAGCGTATCCCGTATCACTTTGGCGGCATGGTCAACCTGCCTGTCGATCGAGTCTGCGACTTCGAGCGAGTATCTCCTTACGTCATGCGGTATCGAAGCAAGCTAGAGGCGCAGCGGTTTGTTAGTTTTCGATAGTCGTACAAGTGTTGACATATTACTAGCTTACATAGTCAAAGAAAAACTGATCGTCGCTCGTCATTTTGAGAGTTAGCTGTGAGATTGGTACTTCAAGCCAATTTTGATTGATGAAAAGAATCTACAGTCACTGATAAGTTTCACTTATCGGAAAGGTCACATGAACGGGTATATATCGCCCCATCCTCATGCAGATCCGTGGCTGCTGATTTTAACCTAACTGTACTATGGAGTACTATATACACAGCATGGTCTGCTGGAGTTAGTATCGATATAGCTGTCGCCACTAGAGCATTCATCTAATGCTTCATATGCTTTTACCTTTTCTCGTAGCGATACATTCTATGTACAGCTGGTTCACAAGCCCCGGACATGGCTAGAGTATCTAATTTAGTCCTAGTAGTCCCTATGTCTGGCCTGCTAAGTTCTTGGGATGACTACCCCTTAACTATGATTATAAATTGTACAAATATTGTTCACATAATCTCTCCCCGGACTGTATCACTGGCACTATTTGCCCCTCTCGCCGCATAGAACCATGGCAGGTTGGAATAGTGTAGTCACGTGAGGCTGGTGCCTGAATCTTCTGTTGATTATCAATTCTTTACCAGTGCCACTCAGGTTCATGACGCGGCTTTTTTCTTTCACCTTCGGCCTCTCCAAGAGTCTTGTTCCGTGGGCCTTTAATAATTGTGACTGCGCCCTTGTTGGATTGCGGCAGAGTGCAACTCCTTAGCTCGTATATCAGTCTTGCGTTCTGGGCTCCACTAAATAATTATAAATATCTGAAGCAGCTATAAGCTCTGCAGTGCCTTTCACTCATTTACCAGCCTATTAATCAATAATCATACTATCTGTCCTGCTGTTTGTTATAAGCTTCAACATGCGTGAAATAGACCCTCTCGTCATTGAATATCAACATGACAGGCACCGACCCAGGGAATCTGAAGCCTTAACCATGCTCAAAAAGATCGCATCACTGGTCAAACCTATCATGCGCCGGAGGACCTGGAAAGTAGGGACGCTCAGTGAATTCTACCCACATCAGCAAAACCTCCTTGGGCTTAATATCAACAAAGGCCAAAAAATATGTCTTCGACTGCGGTACCCTTATGACGAGCGTCAATTCCTCCCGCTCGAACAAGTCGTCGATACGATGCTGCATGAGTGAGTCAACTGGATATGTGCTGCAAACTAGTTGCTGATAATTGCAGACTTTGTCACATCGTACATGGGCCGCATAACCGAGAGTTCCATGCTCTCTGGAACCAGCTACGCGATGAGTATGAAGAGCTTCTTATGAAGGGCTATACTGGGGAGGGATTCCTTTCTGAAGGTAAACGCCTAGGTGGCCGTAGGATACCTCTTCACGAGGTCCGGAGACAAGCCAAAGCGGCCGCAGAGCAGAGACGGGCGCTGTCCGCTGGGTCAGGGCAACGACTGGGGGGTGCTCCGGTACGAGGAACAGACATGCGCCGAGTTATCGCGGATGCTGCACAAAGACGCATAGATGTAACGACAGGCTGTGCATCGGGAGCGGAAAATAGCAACGAACTGGCAGAAGAAGCGTCTAGAAATGGCTTCCGGACGAAGGCTGAGGAAGACGACGCAAATGAACAAGCAATTATGCAGGCTTATATTGACCTGATTGAGGAAGAAGAGAGGGAGAGATACGGCCCTTCTTACGTCCCCCCAAGCCATGAGAACCCGGCTGGGCCCCGTTCAACTTTATCTCCTCCACTTGTTCCCGAGAGCACTAGGCCTACAATGCCGTCGCAACCTCCAGAACCAATAGATCTTACAGTTGACGACAGCCTCTTCGAGGCGCCATGGACGTGTCCAGCTTGCACTTTAGAAAACCCGGCCAGCTTTTTGTGTTGTGATGCCTGTACAGCGGAGCGACCTCGGCCATCGAATACACGTTCTGTATCTGGACCTGCCAAGATTCCGAGCAGCTCAGGATCCCAGAACAAGAATAAGCGCCGGAGAAGCTACCTGGATGGCCAACCCACTTTCAAAAACCGTACTAATGCCGTTGAGACTCTCGCCGCTCTTGAAAGAAAGACCGCTAAACGGCCACTTGGGTGGGTCTGTCAATTCTGCGAGACTTTCATGGAGGCGGAATGGTGGACATGCTCAAACTGTGGGACAATGAAGGCCAACTCTTAAAAAACCTATGGACTGCCCTCGTACTACTTAATTGAGCCTGGTCTTCTGCTCTCCTGATGATTTCACGAAAGATGACGATATACGACTGTTTTAATGGACATTATAATTTTCACATACTTTTCTCATAGCATATATTAAACTGATTCAACGTATCGGACCAAGGAAATATTATAAATAGTTGGAAAGTCGATGGTTGTAATATTCAAAGCCCTCCATCTCATCGATATAGATCTGATGACTAAGACGTGACTAACTTGCACCCTCGGCTCATCTATTCGCCGACAAGCTATACCCACCAACCAAATTTTCCTTTTTTCCTGGATCTTCCAGAGCTCTCTCTCTTCACAACAACTGATGATGTTCGCAACCACATAATGAAAAGCTCTCTACACCAAACAACACATATCTACTAATAGTACAGGTATGCTATAATGCTTTGTTTCTCTCATCATGGTTCTATATGCCCAATCATTGTTCCTCCTGATCAGGCCTCAATGCTTCAAAATGCTGGGGGAGGGGAAGAAAAGCAATAGTTCAATCCACAAACCAACAGTCTCCTATATGATGAAGATTTTTCTCAAGAACCGGTATTTTTAGGAAGAGCCGGAAGAGGTATGACGGGATACCCAATGGGATCCTCGTCGTCGATGCTTATAATGGTTCTTCTGAGTGGAGTTAAACTTGTTGGTTTGTGGATTGACTGGAGATGCTTTTGTCTTGTTCCAGTTTTACATTCTTCATATCAGGGCATTGGGAACAGTGTGCTGATGTATTTTGGTATAGGTTTCGTGGCTTTAGCTTTAAAGTCTAGGCTGTGGTGTTAGGGCTATGTGTTTGGATTGTCCAATATGTTCAGTTTTTGTACATGTGTAGTGCAATTAAGCTTGCTTTATAAATGCAGACAAGTCTATATTTATCATGATATACATACATAAACATGAAATTTAGGAAACGACCTGATAAAAGTATTCCACATCAACTCCCAAGGATATAAAACTTTTTTTAGCAGCCATAACAACGCCAGTCATGCATGGAGACAGATACGCGACGGTGATCAAGCGATACTGACAAATTGTCGCTTCTTACCCGTTGCTGTCGTCTGCTGCTGTTCCTCCCACTGTTCCTCATCGACGTAGTCCTTGGTGCCGTGTTCCTTCACCTGATTGCCGATATACTGCAGAGCGGAGAGATTGAATCCCATCTCATCCTTCTGGCGTGCCAGAACCCGGCGAAGGGAGGACCGGATGCTATCCAGCATGGGACGCATCATCTTGCTAGCGATAATTTGACGATGGTGGGTCTTGAGCATGAAGAAGAGGACGCGGCATGTAAGAGAGATGTTCCACTCGCGGTCGGCCCAGATGTTCAGGAAGGTGAAGAGCGCAGGGACCTTCGAGAAAGGCAAAACAAGTAGTGCATCCTGGAGTGCTGCGGCAGGGATCTTCTGAATGACATTGAGAAGATGCTGCTCGGCGGAAATGTTGCCCAGTGCCAAGTATAGTGGATTGCGGTCTGGGGGCGCAACGTTGGGCTGGACCGCTTTCATAGCACGCCACTCGCGCACGACTTCCAGATCCTCTATTCCCAGATCCAGGGCTTCCATGATGCGTTCTCCCGCCATGAGTGTCTCGCTGGTCTGTTTACCGGCGTCAACGGCTTCGGCCTTCTCGCCTTCCTCATCTTCCTCATCCACAAGGTTGTTGTCGTACATCTCTTCGAGTTCCTTTTCCCGCTCTTCCTCGAGGAACAGAGGCTCATCAGTTTGCTCCCAGATACGGATACTCTTGTCGTGACTGGCGCTGACGACGAACTCCCCAGTATGACTGATAGTCAGTGCCCAGATCTCGCCATGATGGCCGGACAGTTTCTGAATATTCTCAAACTTATCACCATCCCAGTACTTGATCACACGATCCTTACTAGCACTGAAAAAGTTATGCCCGTTTCCATCCCGGTTGTGTGGAACAAAGGCAACGCCCATGATACTGTCTTCGTGTGCCAGGAAGGCCTTATGACAATCACCAAAGTCTAAGCCCCAGAGGCGGACTGTCTTATCGGCTGAGCATGTGACAATCAGCTTGCTGTCGTACGAAATATCCATGTTGAGAACAGGAAGTTTGTGGCCATAGAGGTTGAGGAAGAGCTTCAGGGAGTCTGTAAAGAACACCTTGACCGTATTATCCAAGAGAGCAACTGCAAGTAGTCGAGCGTCGGGTGAAAAACGCAGGTTGAGAATGTCATCGGAGACTTTCAGGGTCCTAGTATGCACCAACTTGAGCCGGGGCGTGGTCCTCTTAGTGCCTGGAATCTCTTCCTGGACGACCTGGAAGTTCCAAAACTTTGCAGACTTGTCCGCACTGCCGCTAACTACGGACTTGCCATCAGGGTGAACATGGAGTGACCATACCGGGCCGTCGTGTGCATTGATCGTATCCAGGAGGGTCGAGGACGCAATGTCAAAGACCTCGAGCTGACCGTCTTTGTTACCAACAACCACAATCTTGTCTCCAGGGAGGAAGGCCGAGCATAAGGCGTAGCCACATTCTAGGGTACGGAGGCAACTCTGGGTGCGGACGTTCCAAATTTTGAGACTGCCATTAGAGGCTGATGCCAACATCCGATCGTCGGAGCTCAGAGCGAGGGAACGAATATCAGTGCGATGACCGGGGATATCGACTGCCAGGTTACGGTTGTAATCTTCGTCATCCTCGTCCTTCTTTCCCTTCGCGGTGTTGACAGTGTAGGCTTCAAGCTGGTTATTAGTGGTTGCAGCGACCAACTGAATGCTGCGGGTCGACTTTGTTCTTATCCAATCGAAAGACCGTACCTTTCCACCAGTTCGAACGATGGTGTGGGAAACGAAGACCTCGGTGACCGGTGCTGAGGAAATATCGTCGGATTTCTCAGTGTCAGCTTCTGCCACGGTGCCCTCCTTCTCAGCTGCACGCTGGGCTTCCTTTTCCTTTCTCCTCTTGCGCTTTCTCACCATAGCCTTCTGGACCTCTGTCTCTGAGCGGATGCGCCAGATTTCTACTGCCTTTTCTGAGCCGTGAATACCGATATAATCTGCCTGGGGGTGGAAGCGGACTCCAATGGTGCGGTCCTTTCCATTACGGTAGAATGTGCCCCGTTCCGTCAAAATCCTGCGGTCCTCCGATCCAACTTTCTCTTTTGAGATTTCAATCAGAGCGCTTTCATCGATTGACCAGACCTTGAGCTCGCCGTCATTTCCCGCAGTGATACAACCACTCTGGTCAGGAGAGAGACCCAAACTCCAGCACTCGCCGTTGGATTGTGCCACGTGGGTTTCAATGCAATGTTGCGACGAAAGATCCCAGACCTTAATCAGAGAGTCTTTGCCAGTTGTCAACAGAAACCCGGCGTGCTCACTCAGTCCAGCAGCATTGAGTAACTCCATGGATGGTGCTAGAAAATGTAGTGATGTAACCTGATCGGTATGACCACGTAGCTTGAATAGTCCGACTTCTCCAATAAGATCCCAGAGAATAATATCCGTATCCTTCGAACCACTTGCGAGACGGACACCGGCGCTATCGAAGGCGAGGTGGGTAATGGCAGATTTGTGGCCATTGAACGAGATCATGACTGTCGCGGTCCTTGAATCCCAGAGGCGAATACTGCCGTCTTCGTAACTAAGAGCAAGAAAGAACTTCAATCAGAACAATAGCCCACACCATTCGTTCAAAACCAGAAACATACCCGACCGCGAAAATATCCTCATCCGTCTTGCTTTGGGTGAGCACAGAAACTTGCGCTTTGCACGAAGAATCTTGCCATTTCCCAAGTAATTCACCCTTTTTTATATCCCAACAGAGAACCTCCTCACCAGCACCCACAATGGCTCGTCCGGAGCCCGTCTGGCGGGCAGCGCCAGAGAACTCATCATCGCGGGCCCAAATCGCATTTGACGTAGCGGAGGCTACGAGCCCGAAAGTTTTCGAATGCTCGAACTTTCTGTAATCGGAAACGTCAGTAATGAACCGGAGTTATATATAGGGCTTTTAGATGAGTAGACTTACAGATATGACTTCACCATCGTTGAATGTCCGAGTACAGAAAAAATTTGGGAGCTTCCAGAGCGATTGCTATCGATAGGCTCAAACGGCCGGAGAAAACTACGGGCGGCGACAGAGACCACCGGCCGCATTCCCCACCGCCTGCCGTTCCCCCCAAACATCCAACGTAACTACTCCCCGAAGTACCAGCTCGAGGCAGAGACATTCAACTCAATCATTACATTTCCACGGTGAAATAAACAACTGAAGGAGCAAGACAGACCCTGGATATTTTGCTACGGTTTATGGTCCTGCCATCATGCTTCTTCTCGACTACCACAACGTTCTCATCCATGCCCTCCTCACGGAGCGGTTCTCAGGGTACAGCTGCCCCCGCCTCGCCCCGTATACGCAATGCAGCCGTTACTGACTACTGTTTGGTGCCTTTAGAGCCCCGCCAGTTTCAATCGACCAGATTGCCTCAGATTTCGACGGAGTTACCTTTCACCTGTCTACCCCCGAATCCAAGACTAAGATCCTTATCTCCATCAACGTGAAATGCTTCCGAGAGCTTGTCCAATATGGTGCCCAACAGGTGCTGGAGAGGGAATACGGCCCATACATCGTCGCCCCCGAACCCGGCTATGACTTCTCGGTTCTTATTGATTTGGAGAATCTCCCCGCGGAACAGGAAGCCAAAGATGACCTCATAATGCGACTTGCGCTGATGAAGCGGAATGCAATGGCTGCCCCGTTCGAGAGAGCTTTCGATGACTTCGCCAAGCTATCGGAAGAAGCTTCAAAATACAGCACAGAGGTGGCCCCTCAGGGTGTTAAGGAGGGAGGAGAAGTTATGGCAATCCACTATCGGGAGGAGGAAGCTATCTACATCAAAGCCAGCCATGACCGAGTTACAGTGATCTTCAGCACAGTCTTCCGTGAAGAGACAGATCGTATCTTCGGCAAGGTATTCCTCCAGGAGTTTGTCGATGCCAGACGTCGTGCCTTGACTCTGCAAAATGCCCCTCAAGTCCTTTTCCGGAACGATCCCCCGCTTGAATTGGCTGGTGTCCCTGGCCTAAAGGATAGCGGCGATGGCAAGACCAGCTACGTCACTTTCGGTAATACACCCGGTTTCTGCCCAACCGTCGCAAGTCCTAACAGTATACAGTTCTCTTCCCCCGTCACTTGACTCCTCAGCGCCGCTACGAAAACATCTCCCACATCCAAATCTTCCGGGATTACTTCCATTACCACATTAAGGCCTCCAAGGTACCGTCCCATGTTATCAATACAAGTGTCGGACTATTTACTTACTTCCATAGGCATACATCCACACCCGTATGCGCAAGAGGACAGCCGACTTCCTCCAGGGTAAGTGGGAACAAATACTGTTGCTGAGTTACTGGATACTGACCGATAATAGTCCTCAACAGAGCCCGGCCAGAAAACGAGGAGCGGGAAAGGAAGACGGCCAGTGGCCGGACATTCCGGGTCCAGAGTTAGGCGTATTGTATATTTTGATTCTAGGCAGAGGAGCCGGAGGTGCAACAGCAAGCCGCGATGTGATTTATTGAGAATGTATAGACTGCAGCAAAACACTTTTTTCTCTTCACCCCTTTCATCTATAACATTCCGTTAGCCCGAAAGAGATCCACGGGAACAATTAACTGAAACCGCAGAACACAGCTAAATACGTCCTATGAGATCTTCACATATGTGCATACAATTGCCGTCCAACGTTTACTTCGGAAGTAGCCACAGCGTGGTTGATTCCTTACTTTCAGGGCTCTATACATACCTCCGGAATTTATATGCACCCCGCAAGACATATACGTACATTCACGGCCTATGACAAGCCGGAAGCCCCTCCTTCGCACCAGGAACACCCAACCTACAAAAGCAAGACGACTTAATCTGAATATCCGCAACAGATAAAGCAACATCAAGCTGCTGCTTAATAATCCTCGCCTCAGCTGTCCGCTCTAACCTCACCAAACACTCATGATACCCATGCAAAGCCCAAACATTATTCGGATGTTGATGAGCCCGCGTAAGCGCATCATCCAGTCCCAAATCCTGCGCATAAGCAGTAGCAGCCTCTTCCACATGACCTTGCTCCAGCATCAAAGCCGCATACGCATGGCGCGTGGGAAGCATCCACCCCCACGGTTCGGTATACATCAGCGAATCATCGTGATGAATAGCCTCGCGCAGAGACTCAAAAGCACAGTCGTAGTTACCTCGTCTGTACTCGATTTCGCCGTCCAGCATAGCTGTCGCTACTTTCAGAACATCGGAAATCAGGTTTGGAAAATCTTTTCTTGACGGTGGGACCCGTTTCGCGGCCGCGTGATAGAGTTCGCGCTCCTTGTTGGCTTCAGGGACATTTCCTGTTGCAGCCCAGGCTATGCCCTTGCCGTAGTGGGTCATTGCGGTGGTTACACAGTAAAGGTCTTGGTCGTTGGGGAGGGGGAGATTCTTGATCTCGTCCCAGAGTCCGAAGCGGATGTAGACGTGTATGCGGACTGCTTTGAAGAATTCTAGCCAGTCTGCTAGCGGTGGCGTCTTGACACGGAGCACGTCGTCTGTGAGCGAGGATTCCATTTGGTCGAGGGTTCTGAGAGCCACTTTAGACTGGCCTGCTAGCATGGCCGCGTAGACTAGAGAGTGGTAGTTGTGCAGGCGGTAGAAGCTATATAAGTTCTTTGCACCATTTTTGGCGAGATATTTCTCGTCTGCGTGGACGGCAGCTGTGTTTGAGTCTATGGAGCGTCGGTAGTCGCCGACCAGGACGTCGAGGTGTGTGGGCATGTGGTGCATATGGCCAGCGTCCGGGACGAGATGGCGAAGCCGGTCAGCCGTGGGAAGGGCAACGGCCGGTGTGGCAGACATCTCTAGATAATGGATCCAGAAATGGATGAGGCCTGGGTGCTCGTCTGCGCTGGGGTGTTGTAGACCCAGGTCGAACACGGCTCTTACGTCGTGGACGGGTGAGCCCGCAATGGGCAGACCACTTTGTACATGAAACATCTTCCGGAGAGCTGTGTGCATCAATGCGTCGGCATAGAGGGTGACTACATCGAGGTCGTCGTCTCCGAAGCACTGGTAAACTTCCTTCATGGCGTTGGCGTAGGCTTTGTCCACGGTGGGGAAATCGTAGGAGGCCGGATGGTCGGCTGGAAAGCGAGCTTGGATTGCATGGATAAGGGCCTGTTCTGCTGGAGTCACGGTAATGCTGTTCAGCAATTCCTTGGCCTTTCGGGAGGCATTGTAGCATTCCTTCAAGCTGTCTTCGAGGTCGCGGGGGTCGAAAAGCCGCCAGGATTTGTTGTAGTTAGGGCCTGTGGCGTAGGCTAAGCCCCAGAATGCCATAACACAGGATGGATCATGGGTAATGGCTTGCTCAAAACACCGCTTGGCCTCTTCATGGTTGAAAGAATAACTCCAGATCAGGCCTCGGTTGAACCATTCCTGGGCTTCAGGGCTTTCCGTGGTAATTGTACGCTTGAAAGATCCTAGATCGTAGTATTCGGCGGCTGAGGCGATGGGATGCACAGCGGGCTGTTCAGTCGACATTGTTCTCGGGGTTATAGTAAGCTTGAGTAAGGATATATTGTTTTTCAAAGGTAAATGGGATGTTATATAGTCGATATATCCAACATTGAGAGTTGTTCAAATTGGGATTCGCCTGTGAGTCCTTGTGTTTATATTTCTAGACCACAGGGGCGCCACACCCCTCACTATAATCCACGAGATGTGGCTGCACGCGGAAACATGATAAGAATCAGTAACATAATCAATATTGACGTATCGCGAATTCGAACTATAGATTATTTGCTGTCCCTCAAAGGCCAATGTGATAAAGGTGGGCCCGCTCGGCGTCTGAACAGAACCAGGCAATACGTAGTCAGGACAAAAGACAAGCAAAGGCCGAGTATTTTCTGTCTAGAATTGCTTCCCGATTACTAATTTGCCCAAATGATGAGAAGAGAGCAAGATAGTATAATTGCAATGGCGAGAGAGACATCAACGGTGGCTCATGTCCATCGGAGCTACTAAATACAATATCAGTGATGGAAAACATAATTTATCACTTAATCATCAGCTCTGACCCTAGGACTACACTGTTGCTGGTTTCTAAATATGTCCTTATCGATATATTGTCAGTCATATATCTACATTATGTGACATAAAACTCGACGAGAGTTTCATATTCGTCCGACACAGGTGTCAACCACGGTATCGTAACTTCATCTTGGTACCCCAGAGAATCATCATGCAACAGTGCATAGCAAGCGAAAAATAAGACAGCCTTGTCTAGAGCCAAGAACTTGCATCTTGCAGCCTTCTCCGTGCCTCAGACTGCACTTGTTCAACCATATCAGCTGCCCTCTCACTCTTCTTAACCATGCCTACACCCGTGCCAGCCCAAACTGTGACAGTTTCCTTGAAGTCGAGCTGCTGGCCCCGAGCATCCTGAAGATCGCGGTGCAACTGTATCCGCATATCACTCATACTCATCCCTCTCTTGACGTAGTCATAACTGCTATTCCTCAAGCATCGTCCATCATACAACTCCGGCCATGGACTAGGTCCCCACATCTCATCAAAGACCCTCGATCTCACTGTAGCTTGTCCACCATCCGAAGCATCAAAAACCGCTTGCCGAAACTGATGCGGCAACTCCGTCTCTTCAGCCCCGAGAAACCGCGTCCCTATCACCACCCCAGCAGCACCGAGCATCATCGCAGCAGCAACACCTCTCCCATCCATAATGCCCCCAGCCGCAATGAGTGAAACATCTTCAATGCCCCGATCTCGCAACACATCCGCCACTTCAGGTAAAAGCGAGATAACACTCGCCCCAAGTGCATGTCCATGTCCACCGGCATCACTCCCCTGGAGCACCAGGGCATCCGGGCGACAAACCCGAGCAGCTTCCACTGCGGCACTCACACTGCCCACTTGAATCCAGACCTGAGTGTACGGTGACACCTTTCGGATCCCCTCCGTCCAGAGCTTGAATTCGTCTGTCGCAGCGAAAGACAACCAGACTACAGCCGGCTTGTACTTGGAAAAGAGTGAAAGCCAATGCGTAACCGGAGAATCAAAGACTATCATCCCCACGCCGACTGGAAGTACAGGCTCCGGGGTATCTTTGCGCGTGTTCATGACGTCTTGTAGTTGGTGTTTGGCTCGTTCGAGCTGCCCTGCCAGAGAACGTTTGCTGTCTAGGAAGCCGATCTGCCCTAGTCCGCCTGCACGGGTGACAGCTACTGCGAGGTCGCTGGTTGCCGCGCCACTCATCGGGGCGTTGATGATTATTGGGGTTTGAACCCAGTGTAAGGCTCGTTTGAGTTTGTGGATGCTTGACATTGTTTTCTTCTTGATTGTTTTTGGTGTGTTGGCGGTGGTGAGAATTAAGATCTGTATAATAAGGGAGCATGTGAATGTAGCTTGCAATTAATTGTACTATCACTGTTATTTTTTTTTTGGTTTTATGGAGGCGTTCGCCATAGATTATATTAAAGAAGCTAGTTAGAAGTATATTTATCCATTATATATCCGAGAAGCGGCTCCGGGCTGAAGCATATAGTAATACACAAATCGCAATCGAAAGACGATATTTCAAAGAGGAAATCATATTATAGCAGGCTTAGAAATACATATACCCTAACCATCTACTAAGATATCCTACTTAGATATTATCGCCGGGGGTGTTTGAAAACCGGCATTTGCCTCCTCGCCAAGCCGATCAAAAACCGGGTCGCCGAATTTAGGGTTCACGATGGATTTATGTGGAGAACGTGGTGGAGAGTCTTGGAACTACTCTATATTCATGCAAGTCTGATACGGATGTGAAAGGTGCCCCAAACAGATCGATGATATCAACCTCTCACCGTGGATCCTAATGATTTCATACTCATTCAGTTCTCCACCTTGATTTTGACATGCCCCACCACCGGCGACTGCGCAGTCCCTCTCAGTAGAAACTCGAACGATAAGGTGGGGACTGCGCTTTTCAAGTCTTGAGAATAAAAGCTGCTGTTGCTATACGCAAGGGAGACTACACACCTGCCTAGGTGGATCTTTTCAATGCTCCCGATAAAGGCCCCTGTGAAACTGGCATGTCTGCCATGGTGGGTCAACAACCATCGTTGATCTTGGCTATTTTCATCTTGCCTGATCGAACTGACCATTTGCATAGCCGTGCCATCAAGACCCGTTGCGATGGGCAGAATCCTTGTACCAATGTAAGGGGAATCGCACCCATCTATCGACAGATTTAACGTAGAGAATAACAGTGCTACAACAATCGCCGGGAGTGTCGCTATCGGCCCAGTCGACGAGGCGGGGCGCGCAAAGGGAATGCCTTCAAGGCAAGGAAGCGTGCCATTGCTGCAACCGATACGCCATCCCCATCCTTACCATCGGGCCCAATAGAGACGCAAGGTCTTCCCTATCCATTCACCAATATCCAGGATGTCAGAGATTTATCCGCCAGTGATCTCGCAGCAGACGAAAACAGTAATCCAGCTTTCGAGCTGGGGTCACTCGCAATACGAGCATATGGATGTGAGGCGGATCTGTACGTTGAAGCTAAAACCTTCCATACATTCTTCTTGATGTAGCCACTAATACAGTACCCTGTGGCTTAAGGGTCAACGCCTACTATGTTTTTATCCACCCATACTTTCCGGTGTTGCCCCCACCGGCGGTTGCTCAATATGAGGACCGCCCATTTGTGATCTCGCTGCGAACCGTTCAAGCAAATCAGGCATTCTTGCCTTACTGGCCGACGTCTCCCTTTGCGTTGGCTTTGTCCGCGCTCCTCGTACTATTTCCTCTACCAGAAGAACCACATTCCATGTCTGAAGCTGCAGTCAGGACCCGCCAGTCATACGCCGAACTCTATGCACATGCCGCAATGAGCAACATTGAAAATTGGATTGACGTCCCCGAACCGGCAACTACAGCTGGCGGTCCGACCCGGTGGAGCTCGCTGCACCCCGATCTCCCGCGGAAGCTGGAGTCCATCTTGGCTCTTGTATTGCTGGGCATGTACGAGCTTTGCCAGCGGGGCAACTTCTCGAAGATGCGCGCTCGAGCTAACCAGGCGCTGACAACCGCGGTGGATCTGTCATTACACACTACCGATCCGGACGAACCGGGCTGTTCAGATGCACAAAGTCGAGCCTGGTGGATGACGGTCAGTTTACCTGCCCTGGCATCCGTTCACCTTACTCACAGACTACTTGCTTGGTGCAGATGTTTCTCAATTATCATTCTTCGATCCTTAATAATTCGGTAAGTTACATGAATATGGAAATGGAAACTGACCCATTGTCACCCTTAGTTTATCAACAATTCAACTAACTTAAGCCAGAGTCCGATCATCCTCATCAATGATCCTCGGATCAGCACACCATACCCAGTATTCCGTGGCTGTCTTGAGGTGTGGCCCCCCATTTGACTGTAGCCCCTAATTCTCTACTTACACATACACCAGCCCTGGCCATTGTTGGCAAAAGCACAAGATACACTTCTTCGGACATGCAACCTAGCAAAGGAGCTCGAGAAAGAGGACAGTAGATCTAGTCAACCGCCCACCCTAATTGATCGTATTCGCGAGCTTAACTCTCTGATATCATCACTCGCCGCCGATTCCGATCGATATCGATGTGTAACAAACCGGCAAGGAGCCGAATGTTTCGCTCCTCGAAACCTATGGGCAATTACAAGTGCCTTAATTCACAGGTGAGTCCTTACCTACCTAGCCCACCCACACAGATGATTCTTCATCAACGCAAGAAATTGGTATTCTGACTCATTCTGCCTCTAGCGCTCGAATCAGATTGCATCGGTTCAGGGCTTTCCTGGATCACCCTTTATTTCTAGGTGAACACTGTGGTCTCACCTCAATCAACCGTATCGACTTTCTGAACATCTCATACCCCCTATCCCCGAGTCGGATAACCAAAATCAACGCGACATTTCCCTTCACGGAGCAGGAGTCCGCAGCTATATGCCTGAAATCATCACTCGCCGTGTCCAGAGTTTTCCGCAACCTAACACCACCAAATCTATACTATACCGATGCACCTGCCGATAGCGAGGCATTACCTGGGTCCTCTCTGTCTCGATTCTGTCCTCGATCACTTCCATATATGGCTTGCTGCCAGATGCAAAGCTTCTATGCCCTCACGATGCTTCTACGAAGAGTACGCGCCTCATTGTCTTCGGGCGACTTGCAGGCGTGTTATCACCTATTGAGCCAGCCTGAGCCAGGCTCAGAGGTGCAGGATGCTGAGCGGCTGGTTGAGGAGCTACGACATGGTCTTGAATCATTGAGCGCGTCCATGAGAGCGGATGTTGCTTTCGAGGGCGTCGTTGGTATGGTACGGGAGATTGAAGGGGTTTGCTTTGCTACATTGTCCTGAATTGGGTCGGGAGCAGGTGTGTTATGGAGAGAATTAGTGTGAGAGGAAAAGGACTATAAGCAGAACTGGTATAGACTTTAGACTGCGCGTGGACATTGCACTCTTCTGCACAAAATGCCAAAAGCTGAATTTCGTGTATTATAGTAGATAGTCAGAGAGAGTCATGAATTACATATCATCAATTGTTAGTAATGATGGTTTGACTCAATAGTCGGCGATTGAAGTTAGGTGTGGATCCACGGACTTAGGGCTATGGTGGGCTTGGAGATCGTAACGAATCATATCCAATACCTGGCTCCATTTCCAACCAAACACCGATCCATGGGCTGGAGCAGGATGTCGCCAATCTGCACGTACAAGCGGGAAGTGGTATGATGATACAGGGTAGCGTCTAATGCTGCTATAAAAGGACTCCGAGGTTCCCCTCTCCCCTCCTCATCTATCTTGTGAGTTGTTGTACAGGGTGTTTATTTCCTTCATCTCTTTCGTTTTTTTTTTCGTTCTCTTCATCAAATCAAAATGGGCTCTGCCGAAAATTCTCCTGCTGTACCGGCAAGTGCTGAATATTATGATCTTGGATCTTTTGGACACACCATCACCACAACCAGCGCAGATACACAAACATGGTTCAATCGTGGATTGACCTGGTGCTATGCCTTCAATCATATCGAAGGCGCCTACTGTTTTGAACAGGCAATTGCCCATGATCCTTCATGTACAATGGCTCACTGGGGATTGGCGTATGCACTGGGGCCCAATTACAATAAAGGCTGGGATCGGTTTGATCCGCAAGACTTAGCTGTTTGCTTACGACGTGCCTTTGCCGCATCGCAACGGGCAAAGGAGTTATCAGTCTATGCCGCGCCCTGGGAGCAGGCGCTCGCCGACGCCATTACACTGCGCTACCCCAGTGAAACACCGTTGGCCGACTACTCAGTGCCGAGCGCAGAGTACGCTGCCGCCATGAAATCGGCGTACGAAAAGTACGGCAGCGACCTGGATATCGCAGTGCTATATGCGGATGCGCTGATGAATCTGACCCCATGGGCCCTGTGGGATCTGTTTACAGGCCAGCCTGTCAAGGGTGCCCCGACAGCCGACGTCCAACGAGTGCTAGAACGGGCATTAGAGCAAGACGGTGCTTATCAACATCCCGGTCTTCTGCATCTGTACATCCATTACATTGAGATGTCTCCTACCCCCGAGCTGGGCATGAATGCTGGCGACCATTTACGTGACCTAGTTCCGGATGCTGGTCACCTGCACCACATGCCTACTCATCTGGATATCTTGGTTGGTGACTGGCGCCGTTCCATCGCGTCAAACTATAACTCAACCCTCGCGGATGACAAATTCCTGCGTCGCGCAGGGGCCGTCAATTTCTACACGTTCTACCGCCTCCATGATTACCACTCGCTGATCTATGCTGCTATGTTCGCCGGAAAGCTCAAAACTGCCATGGATGCCGTGGCTCGTATGGAGGCGTCTGTTCCAGAGGAGGTACTCCGCATGAAATCCCCTCCCATGGCGGATTGGCTGGAGAATTTTATGACCGTGCGCGTGCATGTCATGGTGCGCTTTGGTATGTGGGAAGAGATTATTCAGATGGAACTGCCCCATGACCAAGAGCTGTACACGGTGAAAACGGCCATGGTTCATTATGCCAAGGGAGTCGCATATGCAGCGACGGGACGAGTTAGCGAAGCAGAACAAGAACGGGAACTATTCCAACAAGCTCGGACGCGTGTGCCAGAGACTCGTCGGGCATATAATAGCAAGTGCGCCGATCTCTTAGCTGTGGCGTCTGCCATGCTCGACGGAGAAATCGAATACCGTCGCGGAGAGTACGACCAGGCGTTCAACAGTCTTCGCAAATCGATCGAGCTGGATGATAGGCTTCCGTACAGTGAGCCCTGGGCCTGGATGCAACCTACTCGACATGCCTACGCTGCTCTTATGTTGGAACAGGGCCAAATAGAGAAGGCTGAGAGTGTCTATCGGGCTGACCTTGGGCTGGATAACACTCTCATCCGGCCCCGGCGGCACCCGAACAATGTCTGGTCCCTTCAGGGCTACCATGAATGCTTGGTGCGGCTGGGAAAAACGGAACAGGCGGCTATGATCGAGCCTACACTAAAGCTGGCGCTGGCTGTGGCAGATATCCCCATCAAGGCATCTTGCTTCTGCAGGCTAGATACGTCGCAGGCTCCAGAGGTGATCAGGAAGGGTTGTGGCGACAATGGTCGTTGTCATTAGGCGATTAACTGTCCCATTTCCATGCAAAACTATGAATGTATATAGACGAATACAAGTGTTATGAGGCAAGGAATAGAGAAAGTTTTTCCTGCGGGCTCTTCTCACTCAGCTGTCAATCCACTCACGTTAATTTTCAAGATTGTTACACACAGTGTTTGCTTCACTCGGCCGAGGACAGAACTCCTGCAAGTTGCCGTCTGATCTAATGAATATCTGCCGGACAGGCAACACCCGTGAAGTGAAACGATGACAATCTCGATTGCACCCCTGCAAATCGCACTTGGGAGCTATTGCGGGTAGAGATCGTGGACTGATGCGATGGAGCCCATGGATGATTAATTCAATGAAATCTACATGCTCCGGAGTAGATTGGGGACCGAGCTCCGACAGGAGAAGAAAAAGCAACGAAACTTACCGCCTAAAGAGAATGGTGAAGAGAAGGACGTGTCTCGACTGGTAAAATTGCAGTGGATATAGACCCATTGTGATGTATCACTTCTTCACCGCTGTCTACGTCTGCCCCAGGGCCCCCCCCCCCCCAACAAACATAAACCATCCAGCCGGTGACGATCGTTTCGATGTTCTGCCCCTTCCATTTCCTTCGTTGTAATCATTTTGACTTTTTTGACCCTTCCCTCTGGGAGAACTTGCATGGCGTCTGGAGCACTCAACCTTACGGAGGCTCGGGATTCGACCAGAGCGCGCGGGGCATGACTCGTGTCACAGCAGTGACCGCACCCTCGGTGTCACTAACCGCAGAACCGGTGCAATCAGCTCGGGCCTCTTCTCAGCTAGCAAAAAGCAAAGACCTCTTGGGGGCCAATAACGGATCGTCGGGACGTCTGAAAATGGGGAAGTGTAACCACCCCCCCTGGCGGTGCGACAACTAGTGAATAGTGAATACGCAGAATGATCACCCCGTCTTACTATATCGGATCAGCTGGGAGACCTCAATTGGATGGATGGTACCGGGGATCTGGTCGTGTGTCACCTCCCCCGCTGCAAGGAGGGCTGAACGGCGGATACATCCTTTTCCCTAGACGAGTATAGCTCTGTCCAACTCTGGAATGCTTGTGGTCCTCAGCGGTGTCCAGAAGGTGAGATCTTAACGCGGCTGACTTGAACCTTCTGTAACCTATTACAAAGGCTTCATGCGGTGGGAAAAAGTCAATAACACATCATAATTGCTTTTTCTAATTCCGACAGTCAGGATCGGTTCTCCTTGGCGTCCCAAGAAGCTTACTACAAAAAGTCATTTTAACAAAAAAAAAGAAAAAGAAAGAAGAAAATGGAGAAATGAATTAATTATGGGTCTAGCGGGGAAAGGAAAAAAGAAAGCAAGTAAATAAAACAAAAATACCACCCCAAGGCTCGCAGGATGTTACTCTGTCTGTTTAAAAGACTCCTGTACGTCCACTGATTCATATGGGTGTTTATCCAGCACGCAACCACCACGAACAACTTTGGTGGCATCCAATCACCAACCCCAGGGAATTTCTTTGCCCCAAAATCCGCTGTCTCCCGCATACTTGCTTTCTACTTGACCTTTGAGGTATTAGTTTTCACCTGTGGGAAGTGAATGACATTGCAGGGGTTCGGGAAGTCGATCACGGTATGCGGCCAAGTTGGGAGTTCATGTGGCCAGCCCATAAGTAAGATTGACTGGGGACGATTTATCCCTATGGATTCCAATGTCCAGCGGCTACTTGACATCATTTAACCTGAAGTTGATCCACCGCGCATTCTCTCTTCGGGCTCTACTTACCTCAAGTTTGTGCTGCCTCATATCAAACTTTCTTCCCTGCATGGACGGCATTGGGATTTACTGCATTTCACCCTTGGAATGACAATAGATAATACAACTCGGCATATTCAATTGTACAATTCAGGCCATATCACTATTGGCTGACCTGTAAGTTGTGTTTTCTTCTCTGGCGCGATGACAGACATTCATGTCTCCAATGTTTCCTTGATTCCCTTTTGGCCTTGAGAAATACCTGATTTAACATAATTTAATATATGTACTCCTTATAATCCTTCATGTACTTTTCTTCCATTTTACGTTGTTTCTTAATTTTGTTTTATTCTATTCTATTTCATTTCCCCCCTGCAACACCGCTGTTGCCAACTAAGCAGCTCTTATCCCTTGAAAGCATACGACGATAGGGAATTGATATCTCTTCACACCGAGGCATTTGATAGATCATGCCTGCTTCACTTAATGGCTTTGTACTCTTAGAATAACCTATCATAGCCCCCTTCATTTTTCCATCGCTGATCTCTTTGCGATGTTCGAACGCTCCTGTCATTGACCAAGGCAGGCTTGCGAACCTCCCTCCCTCCCAGACCCTCTTTCCTTCTTTGAACTTTTATCTCTCCTTTTCTTTTGCCTATCAGGACGCCTTTAAGATCAGCAGAAGTTAAGTGACTAATGTTTCGTATCGTCTAAGAGAACAAGTGCCCGAGTCATACCCAACTATTTGGAAGTCACCATACAAGCCCACCATGTCTGACAGACTCAGTTCTCTCCCCCTGGAGATAGTCCTTCAGATTCTTTCGTACCTGCCTTTTGAGTCAGTGCTGGCTTTTGGGGAGACGTGTCACACCAATCACCGATCGCACATTCTCTGCCTCCGATGTCTACGACTGGGGGTCTTCGAGAAGCGAACCCATTCCATAATATCTTGTCTCCAGGCGGGCTGGATCAAGGCAGATCAAGTGGGGGAAGAACTGGGGGAAGCCTTTCCCGTCGAAAGGGAGGTCGGCTCTGATTACACTATCTCCATTATCCGGCCGAAAGTCAAGTCTATAAAACAGACGCTGCCTTCTAAACTTCTAAGCAAGACGAAGGGCGCAAAACTCCGATGTCCGAGGGATCCATCGATGATGCAGGAACACATAGTTCGAACCCAGAACCGAATCTTCTCTAGAGTAGTGAATCGGTACGGGCCATCACTCGTAAAGCTCGAGTTCATGGCGTACGATATCGACATCGAGAGCGCAATGGCACTAGGTACCAGATGCCAGTATGGGTTGCGTCACCTGGCGCTTCGCTTTGAACATCAGCACATCAGAGATGGCCATATCAAGCCGAGTACCTGGCGGTATCCGGCTCCATGCAGCATTGCGTGGAACCTTCTCATTGGAATAGGACAGTACAAGCATATCGGTGTTTCCGGGTTGCAGACCTTGATACTGGAGCGCACCGGCATTACACCGTGGCAGTTGACGATGCTCGTGAAGAAAAACCCTAATCTTACAGTGTTGAAATTGAAAACCTGCCATGGTGCACAGCCAGATTTCTTGAATTGGTTGGGAGGCATTGAACAAGATCCGGACGACCCGGCAGAAACAGATAACGGCTATGCCCCGGGGGATAGACTTGAGGTTCTCTGGTTGGAGAACTGCCACGAGATTCTCACACATCCTGTTGATGACTATGAGGACTTTGCAGACGAAGCTTGTGATAGTGGCCTTGAATGGGTGAGAGGCTTGAGGAATCTGAAAGTGAGTGTCAAGTCCATCCTGATGAGTACTAGTTGCAATAGCAGGCTAACAGTACATGACTCCTGAAGTCCCTCTCCTTCAGCAAATGCATGAATATTCCGTCTGAGTATGTTGAACGGGCAAACAAATTAATCTGGAAAATCCCTGATATTACGTTGCCGTTCTATAACTATGAAGAAGATACCCCTATCGAGGTTGATCCTACCTTTCTGTAGTTTTCTACTTGCCTGTCTGATTCTGGCATTTACGACGTGATGATGTCTCATTTTGTATTTGTTCCTTCCCTCATTCAATCACACATACCCACTTCTTCCTAAGCATTTCTCTCCCGGAGTCGTTGCATTCATGGTCACCCAGAACCACGGCGTTTCATTCAGCAACAGCATGGCTTTTGACGATTGACAGATAGAACCGTTCTTATCTTTACCCTAATGTAATCAATACTTGATATGTCTTTTCGTATATGTCACTATTATCGTCTCACTCTATGGAATAAACTTCAGTACTGAATCCTGTGTGTTGTACTCGAGCAGTTGTACCCTATGAACTACGTGGCAACCTCCACACTCGTTGGCGCTATTTCTAGTTGTTACACGGTGGGCTGAAACTCATGGCAATTCATAGATATGTAGTCCTATTGACAAGCATAGGGCTCTGCTATCCAATCAGCCCAAGGAGACACAGCAGCATAGCTAAGAGTGTATGATGTGTATTAGAGTCTCTGCAATGTGTACTACATTCGTGAAGATTCTTTGGGTTGTGGATAGCCCTGCTGTGTTGCACAGCTGGGGGTTCAATGTTGGTGAGATGGCAAACATCTATAAGTAGATAATGGCATTGTTTGTTTCATGGAGACGGCTTGAGATTCTCGGCTTCGTTGGATAGTGCAAAGATTAGAGAGTTCAATACTCACCTTTGATTTCTGTCTATACGTCCCAGAATGAGCAGACATGGAAGCGAAAGCCGAGCACCACAAGATGCAGGAACAGCCAAAGAACATGAGTTCAAGCTGTTATCTTTTTTTCTCTGACACACCCTCCGTATTCACGCTTTCACCCCTCCAAATGGACAGTAACACCAACCACTATCTCTCCCTCTCCACTGACAATGTTTGAGACATTCATTCACCGTCTAGAGTATGGATCCCTTCACTCCGCATCTTGCCTTCTGCCGCTTCTGGATATCTTCTCACCTTATCTTCGGATGATTCTCTTCAAACCTAACCTCACGTCGATGCATTGCCAAACGAACCCTTCTCAGAATACCGAGTCACCAGTATGAAGAGATACAGGTCTGCATCCCATTTCTGGGACTCTGCTCTGAACAAGATCTTCCCCAGGCGAGCATCGCGATCGCGATCGGATGAGCGCAACACGTTTCTGTCATTCGAGTCCTCCACTACCAGCGAACATACAGATGGCTTTTACATGTACTCCCAGGCTCTGTTAGAGCAAGAAAACAGATGCCGCGGGGCTTTACTCTACCGCCAATCCGACAGCACAGAGACTTCATATTCATCTGCTGTAAGTCAGCTGTCCTGAAACCCGACTTACTGTGTGGGAACTGACAAGGTGCAAGCTCATGGCGCCAATTCCGCGCCCTGCCCTGCCCTATACGATTAGTTCTCCCGAGTGGAACATATTTTCTGAAGCTGTCAAGGCCCTCGAAGGTGCTATTGATGACGATGCATCCGACTGGCTCCACAGCGTGCTGTCTGTCTTTTCCAAAGTCTACACCGTCGCCAAGATCATCGTCACAATATTCAGGTATTATGGGATCGAGGTACGTGACCGGCCGTGCGCTCGGCCATCAATCTGGCTACCCTCTGTCACAGGATTTGAACTGACTGCAACCATAGGTGGAAGACATCCCTGACAGTGTTCCGGCCCATATCAGACGTGCGGAAGAAATTGTGACGTCCAACTCGATTACTGAGCTTATTGAGGCCGTTGAGAGTCTTTATTATTCCGTATATGCGAGGCTGGTAATGGAGATAGCGAACGTCGACTTGTCAACTTACTTCAACTTGGAACTCCGACGCACATCCCGCAAGGATGGGTTCACTCTCCCAGAGCCCGATCATTTGCTGAAGATCCTCGCGCACTGCAAAGACACCCTCGAAGCGCCAACTGTTTGCAACCATGTCAATGTGAATCTCATCAGAGTTCACCAGGATGAATTCATCCGCCGTGCCATGGAGAGGGCAATTGGCACAGAGTTCTTCCTCGACGATCTCCTCGGATACCGCCGTTATACTATGGGAATTGTGAGCGACACCTCATCCGAGTTCCGTTCCAAGTGGAACCACGACACCTTCCTTTATCAAATACCGCCGGAGGAGATCCTCACAGTCCAGTCCGAGAAGTACCTTTCTTTTATACCCAAACCGGAGGCTGTATTGACAGTTACTGGTTCGGATCTTCCATTCGTTGACCGCGACAGTACCGATCCGGAACTTTGGGAGCGGGAGCTCGTCAAAGACCATCGCCAGGCAGCTTTAGCCAAGATGGAAGGCAAAGGCATCGGAGACGTCAGGCGCGTGGACGAGCGACGTCTCCCGAGCGACTACATGAAGGAGAGAAAATGCATCTGTCGCTCATCGTGCATCTGTTCCTGGGAATGTACTTCGGACCCCGAACGTCCCTGTCCCTGCGCAGACCGTATGATGCAGATAATGCTTGCGAAACATCGCAAGGCCCCGGGAACACGCGACTTCGCTACCCGATGCGGCAATCTTGCAAAGGCGATCTTCGAATGCGCTTCATTAATTAAACGAGACATTGATGATATCGAGATCGCGTTGGAGCTGGACCGGGCATTTCTTTTAGTGGACAGTGAGATCGAAGCCCAGCGCCGAACGCCCCGCAAGGCTAACGGGGTGAAGTCCTCGAGTGAGGATCGAAGCTCTGATATGGGATGATACTCATTGATTGTTTCGGGAAGAAGGGGGGGGATATGGGATGATATGAGGCCAGATTCTTCTACAGATTGGGGGATAGTAGGGCGATCCACAGCATCATTCGACTCGATTGATGACGATCAGGGAGATGTAACTAACTACAAGCTGCTTTAGCGGCCCCCATTTGGCCCAAAGATACTATTCTTGTAATCTGATGCGCTGTACCTTGACCGTACCTTGCCCTATGATGTAATGTACGCGGTAACACTCGGAACATGTAAGGAAATAAAAAACGTCCCAACACCAACAGAAAAGCCAAACTTTTGACTGAACTAAATGGCTAAGCTGAAGGGTTATTATTAGTCACAGCATGCCATGTGCCTGAATGCTCACTGGCTCAACAAACGTAACCTGTGATCCAGAAAAAAGCTGATCATTCCACCGCTACTATCGCGATTATCCCAGCATGGTATTGTCCCAGCAAACCGGGAAGAAGAGGAAAGAAAAATAAATTACCTCAAGGTAAATCGTGCGCGGAGTGAGGAGTCAAGACTCCCGTGCAACTTGTTATTCTTCTACCACAAAAAAGAAAACCGTTCTAGCGGGCATGGTGCCCAAAAACGTATCGACTTCGGCGACTGTATTAATATCCTCCTTTGCATCTCCGTGGCCGCGAAATCCACAGTGGATCGCAAACTTCAGAAGACCCAGAACCGGGGTGCGATGGTATAGCCGTGCTGCATGGCCGTCCTACGGCATCACCACTCCCGTGCCGGATCGCCCTCCTCCGTTCCCCAGTTCCGGATCTAGGAAATCTCCATTCTGCTTCCAGACGGGGTATGCGCTCTGCGCCAAACGGCCGTCGCGCCCCTTCCCCCCACCGTTCCTGTCCCCGCCGTCCTCGTCCTTTTCCGACCCGTTGACTACCCACTACCACAGTCAGGATAAGAGATTATCCGTCAAGGGCGAACTAGTCAGGGGGCTGAACAACGGCGACGATGCCGTTTTGGTTGCGGATAATTTCCTCGGGGTCGACGATGGCGTGGGGGCATGGGCTACCAAGCCACGAGGTCATGCTGCGTGAGTTTCTGCTTCCTTGACTGTTGGGTCTCCTAGGGGATGAGTCATGCTCATTTTGATGCTCGGATAGACTCTGGTCCAGGCTTTTACTGCATTTCTGGGCTCTAGAAGTCGAACGAGGAGTTGATAGTGATGCGCCGCTGGATCCGGTCGAGTACCTCCAACGTGCTTACGAAGAAACCATCAGGGCAACGACCGACCCTAACGAATGGTACGGAACAACGACCTCCGTCACTGCGATCTTACATTGGACCTGCGATGAGACGGGAAACGAGAAGCCTTTACTTTACGTGACCAATGTAGGCGATTGCAAGTTGATGGTGATCCGTCCAAGCGAGGAGAAGATCCTGTTTCGGACCAAGGAACAATGGCATTGGTTCGACTGCCCGATGCAGCTGGGGACCAACAGCGTGGACACACCGCGGAAGGATGCAGTGATGTCTCAAGTGGATTTGGAGGAGGAGGATGTCGTACTTGCCGTGTCCGACGGCGTTCTAGACAATCTTTGGGAACATGAAATATTGTCCATCACGCTTGATAGCATCAAGAAGTGGAACCAGGGACGGTATGACAATACAGACCTTGAGTGGGCTCCCCCGGAGGTGCTGGCAGAAGAACGCATGGTCTTTGTGGCGCGCGAGCTGCTCAAATCCGCTCTGGCTATTGCCCAGGATCCGTTCGCTGAGAGCCCGTTTATGGAGAAAGCAATTGAAGAAGGTCTCGCTATTGAGGGGGGTAAGTAGACTCCCTGCAATATAGTGAGCAGCTGATTGACTTGCAACAGGAAAAATGGATGACATTAGCGTGGTGGTCGGTTCCTGCAAGAGGAGGGCTTCTTGAGCCGGACGCACGCCATAGGCTTTGAAGCTTCAATCAAACTACCAGACGACATCTAGAAACATATCACCTGCAGGTTTTATCCTGACGCGTCCGACGCCATATATCGGTTTCTAGAGGGTTGGACTACGATACGTTAATAGAACCGGGAGCTACTCCTGACCTTCCCACCTGCGAGTTGACGCTGAACCGTATCATGTCGCACCAGGCGCCCAAGCATCCAAGCACTGCGCACTCGACACTAAAAGCGTTACTATAGAAGGCATGCACATGAATGCCGAAGCCACGAGGTTATGGACATATATGCATATCAACCATGGCAAGTCAATAGCCGGCGGGGAATGATTTGCTTATGCTTAAGTTATTTTGAAACTACGATTCATGTAATTAGATAATACTGCCGTTGTTGTTGTTGTTCTTCTTCTTCTTCTTCTTCTTTATATCTCCCTTTTTCTTGAGTACTCATATTCAGTCTAGATTTCCAATCTATCAATTTTGTCATAGTATCGTACAAACTCCCCCAAATCTAGATAACGCACGGACCACATCCAAAGTAGCGACATTCCGCCCGGCAAAATCAGAAAAAAAGTTTCGATCTAAGAAAATCAATCGACGCAATCACCAACACAGCTCCCACCCAACACTCTCACTCTTAATTCCCTCATCGCCACCTACCCGTGAAAATGAGGGCCAAACGCTCAAAGAAGTACCGCAAGCTCATGCATCAATATGAGCTCGCATTCGGGTTCCGCGAACCATACCAAGTCCTAGGTAAGCCGCAACCAAGCGCATCCCAGAGTGAAAGTCGCCTAACAACTGAATACAGTGGACTCCAACTTCCTCAATGCCGTACACTCCTTCAAGATGGAGCTACTCCCTTACCTCGAGCGCACACTGCAGGGCAAAGTCAAGCCTCGTACGTCTCAACCACACCCCACCTACCAAGCCACAAAGACCAATAACACACCGGTCATGTCCTTAATATAATCACTAACAAGACATGATATATAGTCCTCACAAAATGCTCACTAGCAGCCATCATGGCCAACCAACCCATCAACCCTCGCACCAACAACCCTGTCCGTCCCGCACAACTCCCCCCGCCCACCGTCCTCCCATTGCGCCACTGCTCCCACAACGAAGACGCCTCTCCTATCGACGAAACAGAGTGCCTGCTTTCTCTTCTTTCGCCGTCCGCAGACGTCAAGCGGAATAAGGAGCATTATATTCTCGCCACGGCGGATCCGGCGACGCCCAAGACTTCGTCGCAGAACGACAAGAAGCGGAAGCGCGGTGTCGATGAGGCTGAGGTTGCGTTGAGAAAGTCGAGGATGTTTAGGAGCGCCGCGCGGGCTATCCCCGGTGTACCGATTGTTTATGTGAAGCGGTCTGTTATGGTTTTGGAGCCGATGAGTTCGTTGAGCGAGGAGCTGAGGGATGGGTATGAGAGTGGGAAGTTCAGGGCTGGGTTGAACGATGATGCGGCTCCGAAGAAGAGTGGAGATGGGGAGAAGAAAAAGAAGGGATTTAAGAAGGTGAAGGGCCCGAATCCTTTGAGTGTTAAGAAACCGAAGAAGAGGGAGTCTGAGTCGGATAGGCCTGCGAAGAAGAGGCAGGCCACGGAGGATGGAGAGGGTAAGGAGTCTACGGAGAGGACGGAAGATGGTGATTCTGCGCCCAAGCCGAAGCGGAGGAGACGTCATCATAATCGCGGTACTAAGAATGAAGGCGAGGATGGAGGCGATGCGGCTCCTGCTGTCACGATGGAGGAGTGAGCAGTTTCCACCTGCGTGTTTGCTTGTTGATGAAAAAGATATCGTTACTCATGGTATGGCGTTCCGGTTGGGCAAAAGACAATTACATCAGTTTAACCCAGTGTATATTCCAATGAACACAATCGATGTAAATCCATCCATTCATTCCCATCATAGTCCACACCCCCCATCTAATCATACAACTCACTCATAGACCCAAAAGAGAGGGAAAGAAAAGAACAAAGAAGAGAAGAGAAGATCCCAAAACGCCATCCGCCATCCAACACAGCAATGCAATCAATCAACATACAATACAGCCCTCCACCATCACCAACCAAACCTAATCCTTCTTCTCAGCCCCAACACCCGAAGGCGTAGACGAGAATCCCTGCTCAAAGGCCTTCTCATCCGCCCAGATCTTCTCGATTCGCTTCCGGTTCTCCCTCGCCGCATCGCGGTTCCGCTTGGCCCGCTCGTACCGCTCCGCGGCCAGACACTTGTTCACGTCGCGCTTGATATCGTTGCAGTTTCCGAGGGCCTTGTGCAGGAAGCCCTTGGCGTGGCATTCGTCCAACGCCGTCATGATTGCTTCGCAATCTGTCATTCAATTCAAGTCACGTTAGTATGGGGTTTAGTTGTATGGAGGAATGGGGGAGTGACGGACTGGCATTGTAGGGTGTGTGGAGGTGGGAATGCATCTTGGATCTAGTTTTCCTTTCCGTAGATTTCTAAAATAAGAGAGGTTCTGATTTCCCCCAAAAATTGCAAGATAAAACCAACGTAGAATTATAGATCATCAAAGCGGCGCATACGAGAAATCTCCGAATCCATATCCCGGGCGGTGAAGCCATGAGCGAAGTTCTGCCGGGCGGAAACTGAGGGGCCATCAAAGAAAAAAAAAAAAAAAAAAAGAGCAACCAGCGTTGATGCTCTATCTAACTATCGCAATCCACAAGACTCTTCTTCTTGTGGATCATATTGACACTGGTTTGATCAGGTCAATTTAATGATTCTTTTACGGAATTTCAAAGATAAAAGTTTTTTTGAATATTTTTCTCTATTGAATAGATTTGCTCACATCTTTACGACCTTAAAAGTTTGACGATTTCTGATTCTGTTTTTCTTTTTAATTGCCTTTCACGATGTCTTCTATGATTACAACTACTTCCTGGGTGCGACGGGGTGTCGCGGCCCAGATGCCGACTAAGTATGAGATTGATGAAGAGGAGATGAATCGGATATCGACTCTCGCGAAGATGCAGCTTGAGGATGCTCAGAGTGATCTGAAGGCTGCTCAGGATGGGGATGGGGATGAGGAGGATGATGAGGCTATGGAGGAGGATGACAAGAAGGATGTTATGGAGGAGGATTCGGGAAAGAAGACGGAGGCGGCCAATGCTGAGTATGTTTGGGTGTTTTCTGGCCGTGTGCGGGTTGGTTGGATGCTTGAAGCTGACCTGGCTGTAGTGACGATGACTTGAAGGAATATGATCTCGACCATTACGACAGTGATGAGGTCGACGAGGATGGCGAGAAGACTACCATGTTCGGCAATGTCAAGTCCCTTGCTTACCACCAGCCTAACGAGGCGGATCCGTACCTGGTGATGCCACCGGAGGAGGAGGATGAAGAGAGAGAGGAGCTGCAGATCCTTCCCACCGATAACTTGGTGCTTGCGGGTAAGGTGGAGGATGAAGTCGCACACCTCGAGGTCTACGTCTACGAGGACCAGGACGCCAATCTCTACGTGCACCATGACATCATGCTGCCGGCCATTCCTCTCTGCACTGAATGGTTGGACATGCCTGTTGGCAAGACCGCCGAGGGCCGCACTACAGGAAACTTCGTGGCTGTTGGAACGATGGAGCCCGATATCGAGATTTGGGATCTGGACATTGTCGACTGCATGTACCCCAACGCCATCCTGGGCCAGGGTGGTGAAGGTGAAGCCAAGAAGCCAAAGAAGAAGAAGACCAAGGCGAACGACGAGTTCCACGTTGACGCGGTGCTCGCGCTGGCTGCGAACCGGCAACATCGCAATCTCCTTGCCTCCGCCTCGGCCGATCGAACGGTTAAACTTTGGGATCTCAATACCACAAAATGCGCCAAGTCCTACACCCACCACACCGACAAGGTGTGCTCCTTGGACTGGCACCCGAAGGAGTCCACCGTCTTGCTGAGTGGCAGTTACGACCGCACCGTGGTGGCTGCGGACATGAGAGCCCCCGACTCCAAGGCCCGGTGGGGTGTGGACACAGATGTCGAGAACGTACGCTGGGATATGCACGATCCCAACTACTTCTACGTGACGACAGACGGCGGTATGGTCTATCGCTACGATGTGCGAAACGTCCCCGCCAACCCTAAGGATTCGAAACCCGTGTGGTCCCTGCAGGCGCACGACGACTCGGTGTCAGCTTTCGACATTAACTCCGCCATTCCGGGTTTCCTCGTCACCGGTAGCACAGACAAGCAGGTTAAACTGTGGAACGTCGAGAACGACAAGCCTAGCATGGTCGTCTCACGCAAGCTGGAGGTGGGCAAAGTTTTCTCGACTACATTCGCCCCCGATCCAGAGGTCAGCTTCCGACTGGCCGTGGCCGGCAGCAAGGGCGTCGTACAGATCTGGGATACTTCCACCAACGCCGCAGTCCGCCGGGCATTCGTGTCGCGGCTGCCCAGTCTGGAAGGTGAGGTGCAGGAGCGCACAGTGGGTGTGCAGGCAGATCAGAATGAGTCAGATGAAGAGGACGCCGCGCAGGAGGTTGGTGCGGCCGCCGGCGGTGCGGATGGCTGGGAGTCGATGGATGAAGACTGAGGTTCTAGAAACGGGGGAAAATATCCTAAGCAAGGAGGCTATTGTGCGCGCATTGCGTCAGTGTAGAAAGCTTTTTTGTCCGTTCTGTGTGTATAGTCCTGTTTGCCTTCCGTCTGACATGCAATGAAAACGTTGATACCCGGTTTGATCTAAATTGCAACTGAATGGTGATCGAAAATGAGAACGGAGGGCATGTCTGTACATGGCAACGATCGTCCAGATCCTGGTCGAAAACGGTCCTAGTGTGAAACGGCCCGTCTAGCCAATCAGGACCACCTTTTAATTTGGAGATTCAATTTTCCAGAGTAAAGCCGACAGGAATTACTCAAGTGACCCGGGATTTGGCGATGGAGGTCACAGTATCGCTTAGCGATGGGAAGATGGGACAGTGTGATGCGGGAGGCGTGGAAACAAAGAAAAAAAAAATTAACCAATTCACAATATGCAAGTGACAGGTAGAATTACAATATCAGTTATTGCTTTTGTTAGTTTCTTTCATTATGTACGACCAGGATTATCTGCAAATCCCACATGGGAAGAAAAAAAAAAGCTGAAAAAAAAAAAAAAAAAAAAAAAAAAAAAAAAAAAAAGACAGAGACGAGAAAAGTAGCAGTGGGGGCTAGCCTGATATGGTAACTCGTTAATCAGAAGGACCTCCATGGTGGGTGATATATCCGCGCTCTGTTGGCCCTTGTGACAATAAAAAGAGAGTTGTAAACGAAGTCCACAATTTACTGTGTGTATTAAGTTTACCCACTGGGTGGGGTTGACCCGCGCGCATTGACACCGAAAGCCCATTGTCGGGATCAGATTTCAGATCGGCTCAGGAGTCTCAACACGCTTTTGTGCGACAAATAGGCCCTCTGAAAACAAAGGAATGAATGAAAACTGATACTACCTTAAAAGCATACAGTGGGAAGTATGTTGGACTGATCAATCATATACCACAGGGGGAAAGTTTACCTATCATACTTCGTAGATCACACACTCCACAGTCATGCAAGCACTAATAGTACTTTGGTTGGCTGGCGATACGCTGAGACACGGCCGCCGCAGAGTTGTTTCATCCCCACTGCTGATGGTACATGGCGCTCCTGAGAGGTCATTCCGTTGCCGTTCCTGACACCAACTCCGGCACCGTCGCTTGGCCATTGCAGTGCGATAGTGCTTAGGTCGTTATGATTGCTCTTTTTTTCGTCGTTGGAGAGGTGAAATAAAATAAAAATTAATCAGGGACATAGAATTTTCGTCTCAGGGCGGAGATACCAGGGGTCTTTCCGTCTCATATTGGTATCTAGGGCACGGGTCGAAGGAGGATACAATTATTCTCCTTGGAGAGGGATGGTATTCAGGAGGGGGTAACGTAGAGGTTACCTGGGTATTGAGTAGTAATGGTTAGGTTATGGTTTAATTTAATGGCCATCACTCTGCGTCGTACAGGTGCCACGCAGCTGAGAGACAGCCCCGGCGCTTCGCATCGACCATATCTACCGAATGGCAGGTTGCAAGGAACCGCGTGGGATAGTCACATCAAGTGGTCTTGGCCGTCGGAAGACCGGACCATGCAAAGAAGTCTGCCTGAGGTCAGCAGAGATAATCACTTCTCCATTAATAGATACACAGATTGATTGATTTTTGGGCCCCTTCCTTATGGGGGATACTTCCGTACTGGGGGGAAGAGAAAACATACCATATTTACTCCGTACGGCGTACTCTGGGTCAACATCGGCACTTTGCGGTTTCCCATGGATCACACATAGGTTCTCGAACCTGAAAAAGACCGAAATTCACGCATTAGAAACCACCAGAATCAGGGTCCCTAACGGAAGGCGAAAGTTTTTCTATTGTTCACCAAGGAACAGGCTGTTTGAACCATAGAAAGGTAACTGACCGAACCGTGGGAAAAGCGGGAAGCATCCGACGAACAGATGGTGACTGGATAACCTTGAGGGGGACAAGCAGGTAAAACTCTAAATGGGTGTCCATCAGCCTGGTGGATCAAAAAGCCTGGAACACACCCATAAGGCATTCGCCGCTGCCCCTACCTTTTTCTACCGTCCCTTTTCTTCTTCCCCTCTCGTTTAATTACATACTTCACTGGCTTCGTTTCTTTTCTTCCTTTTCTTCATTTCGTGGTCCATTCCTCCCTGGGGGATTTTTTTGCCTTGGATCAATTATTTCACTTCTTATTCTTTCATTCCATTCTCTTGTCCTGGATTCCCTCCTTCCATCCTTGATTTGGTACTTTTTACCCTTCCTTATTAAAACCCCGTGGCGCGTCCTGGTTGTCCGCCCCGATTTACCCAGTACAGAGTGCTGCTGCAATTATTCCACCCCTTGAGTCGAGCAATCCACCCACTTGAGACGGACTTCCCACCATCCGATTTTCTGCTGTGCAAGAAAAAGGAATCTCCGCCTCAACTTTCATTGAATGAAATATCCAGAAACGTTGATCTTCGATGAGCAACGGAGACTGAAAAACAACTAAAAAAAGAACCTTATATCAAAGCGCACCGTCCATATCTGATAGCGGACATTCCAGTCACTGACCTTCCATTCCTTCTGGTGCCAACCCCGCAATCATCCACCACGCATTCTTTATCGGTACCGCAAACGAACGTTTGGCAGGCACTAAAAATAGGAGGACTATTTGATAAGGAAGAGTGACAGTTGACGTGACAGTTGATCAAAAACAGCTGCTGCGATACAATTAACCTATATCTCGGTCCTCAACCCGCTTCCTTGGTTGAAAGTTATTGACTACTATATCGCATCGCTTACACTCTCGGAACCACCACCATGTCCTCGCTGACCCGAGCATTTACCAAGCGCCACAAGCGCCCCGAGGTATCGGCACCGATGCCCTACCGGGAAGGCCAAGTCAAATTCTCTGCTGGAACCATCAATCGGGGCAAGATCTCAGCTCCGGTGGAGTTGCTGTCCACCACGAATATGCTCGCTTACAATGCGCCCGATCTTCATTCAGCGGGATCGTCATCTACGTCATCTCTTCAATCTCCAGATGACTCAGAATTATCTTTTGCGCATCAGAGTTTCGGGTCGCCCGTCACAACACCCAGCGACTCTCCCGTCGAGCCCAACCCTCTATCGTCATATTTCCCCAAGCGCTCAGCCACTGTTACCAGCCATCCTCGATCCTCTACATCGACTGCATCATCTACGGATGCGCCCTTGGTTCCCAAGCGGGCGCTTTCCCATACGAAGCGCTCCCACCAAGAGTTGGCTCGTCAGCGCTCCATCTCTCGGCTCTCGCCTCCTCCATTAAATTCCGTGCGCAGCAGTCCTGCAGTTCGCCCAGCCCAGGAATACTCCAGCCCCGAACCACACCCCTTTGGAAAGGAGCTGGAGCAAGTGAATGAGGTCGTGGAAGAGTTTGGTGGCACTCGTGTGCTCGATGAAGAGGAGCTTATTTTGCAGAACAAAGGCCTGATGAAGTTCACCGTGGATGAATACCTGGTAGAAATTGAAGATCTTTACGGAAGCATCTTTGACGATCGAATGGGCCCAATTGCTTCCGGACAGTGGCTATGAAGCTTCATTGTCATGCGGAAATGGCTCGATGGCGTCGACCGGAAGTGGAAAGAACTGGATTTTTGTCTCATCATCTGTTATGACCTACTAATATTCGCTCTTTAACGAATTCGTCTGTTTATGTGTGCTTTTTCACCGGCTTTATACCATTGGGAGAGGATCTGTTCCTTGTGTGATTTTTTTTCTATTATCTTGTGGACCATGTTTCAATTTACATATTGTATTTTCGTGATGGGTTATGTTATGGTACACGAAATCGAAGGAACGGACGATGAGTCTCATCTCTGTGCTTTCAATCGAGTAGGATTAGAGACCATGCCTGCAGTTTTAAACCTAAACCACGTATCTACAAGTCTACCCTGAGTACAAAGAACGCCATTACTACTCCTTAGAAGGTACTAGGAAGCCTTCCATATTGCCCAATCAGGCGCTGAGTGGTGCACGGTTACGCGCCGGTCACGCGCTGGTCACGGGGATAAGCTCCACTGATGCCCCACAAGAAAAATTTCAAGCAGGATGCTTCTCCGCCTCTGTCGGTGTCCCTCGTAAGACCAGCTCCTTCTCATCTGCTTACGTCTAATGCACGGCTTGCTACAATATTGTGTGTGTTAGATGACAGATGGGGCTGTCTTCGGTCACCATTAACTCCCAGTGCGCCTATCATCTGTAGCATCAGCGAAACATTCGAGGTTTGACCACGCTGGCGGTGTCGTGTGCTCTTGTTCTCCAACACTCGGCTTGTGTTATAGCGAGAGTTCTAGGGTCCAATAAATGACGAGCATTGGGCAAAGTCTCCCTTCCTTCCAGCTGCATATCTGAACATTCCTGCTGACCTATCATGGTCGCCCTCGCCACGCCCTCGCGCAACCCAGCAACGGGAATTAGACAACCTAGCCGCTCCAAGATGCTAGCCACGTCTTCTCCTGTTCCCATCTTGAAAACTGCTAAGGAAACTCCCACGGCCGGTATCAAACATAAAATGGAGGATATGAATCTTTCCCTGTCCCCCTCGTCTTCTGGTTCTTCCGACGGCGAGGGGCTCCCCAGCCCGAGGAAGCGGGCTCGGGTGCAGTTCAAGGATGTTGAAATGGTTTCGTTCGATGAAAGGGTGCAAGGGAACACCGGGGCCCCGGAGAAGAGTGCGGCCGTGGTTCGCGAGGAGGTGCGCCGTGCTATTCAACGGCATATCTCAGGCACCGATAGTGAAGCCTACGACCGCATCAAAGAAATCTTCTCGGTGGATCCCCGGCGTGGGGAAGAGGATGGCATGTTTTCCTACGATGTACCTACACACACGACTTTAAGATATCATCTTCTGGGCCTTCTGTCAAACGTGGCTTCCTTGGATCGCAGCTGCAACGGGCTGGTCAACGCTGTTTTAAACAGTGTATGGCTCGGGCGCGACGAGTCCTACGTTAAGTTGTATATTCGCTTCCTAGGTAATCTTGCGGCCGCCCAGGGAAGCTATCTGGGACCGGTGCTCAAAATGCTCGTCACATACCTAGGCGAGCTTCCCAAGGGCACGGGCAAGCTGCCGGGCTATGCTCCCGTCCTCGTGCCGGAGATCTACACCCGGGTCCACATGGCTCTTCGTCATATAGTGCATTTGATCCCGTCCGGTAGCGGGTCATTGTCGCCCGTCTTGTCCATGCAGTTTCCTTTTGATACCGATTCTCCAAAGGCCAACATTGCGTACACGCAAAACCTCATCAGAGTAATTGGCTATACCCCAGAACTCCAGGCGGACATCCTTGCTCTCCTCACTGAAAAAATCGTTAAGATTGACGTTCAGATTCAGGTGGACATGGACGATCTTGATGATGAAGAGGAAGAGGAGGTTCTGCATGCTGTCTCTCCTGGGGCCATTGTCTTTGGTGAGGACGATGACGATGACAATGCATCGGTCGTGAGCGATGACTCGATAGATACCGAGTCTCGGCGGATTAAGACGATAAAAGATAACGTTCTCAAGCTGGATGGCATGATTGATTCTTTGTTTGAATACTATACGCCGACCTTCGCCTCCGGCACCTTGGACGACAAGGAGAATACGCTCGATCTCCTACTTAGCCACTTTCAAAGCATTATCCTTCCGACTTACCGCTCACGCCATTCCCAATTCCTCCTTTTCCACTTCTCTCAGTCGTCCCCAGATCTTGTTGACCGCTTTACCACGGCATGCATCGAGATTGTTTTCAATAAGCTGCAGCCAGCCATCACACGTCAATCTGCCGCCGCATACCTCGCCAGTTTCGTTGCCCGAGGTGCACACATCTCTGGTGAGATTGTGCGAGATGTTTTCGGTCTGCTAGGCGGACACTTGCGGGATCTGCGTGACCTCTACGAGCCTTCCTGCCGGGGTCCTGATCTCCGTCGCTATGGCCCCTTCTACTCCACCGCGCAGGCCTTACTCTACATTTTCTGCTTCCGCTGGCGGGACCTGACCACTGCCGCAACAGAGGGCGATAGCATCGAGCAAGTAGATGAGCTTGAGCTAGAAGACATCACCTTCCCGCCAATGGTGAAGGAAGCCCTCCACCAGACCATCTATTCCAAGCTGAACCCGCTGAAGGTGTGCTCGCCCGCCATCGTATCAGAGTTCGCACGGATGTCCCAGCACCTGAATTTGATGTACGTGTTCAGCATTCTTGAAACGAATAAGCGAATCCGCATGACATCTTTCCGGAATCTGTCCGCCCTGGCAGACCCGCGATTCAGCATAGTCGAACGAGAGACTCGTGCCGGTGATGATCTCGGTTATCAACTCGATGCATACTTCCCATTTGACCCGTACCAGCTCCCCCGCAGCCGGCACTGGGTGGAAGCTGACTACATCCACTGGCGCGGTATCCCTGGTGATGACCAGGATGAATCCGATAGTGAGGCTGACGATTTCGAGTCGGACGATGATCTCAGTGACGAAACGGGCACTGATGAAGAGTAAATCCGTTCTCCTTGAAGGAAAACAATTACATTCTTCCCTCCCCTTTTCAGTTCTCAATACCCCTTTCTTGAGCGTTGCTTAACGACTCTTTCCAAAAAAGAAAAGTTTTTTATGCTGCTGTTAGCGTGGCGTCTGGAGCGTCATTGTGTTATTTCAACTGTTGATATATTTTTTTCTCATTTTCTCCCTGATCTTGCGAGAGATACCTACCATGCCTTGTTTGATTTGGTCCACCTACTTGGTACGCATGATGATGTGATTGGTGAATGTATGATAATGCATGGTATAGAATGAAATTCACTCTTGGGAAATATACTACCTGTGCTTCTGTAGCTGCGTAGTACATTCTCCCAATGAATACTGTATATATACAAATATGGAAGGACTCTAAGATTGATGCAAATGTTCACACTAATACATCCCGCAATCTAGGTTAAGGATCACGAAGGCTATGGATGTGTAGACTGTTTGGATGGAAGAGAGCATCGAGAGTATTTTCGTGGGCTAGAAAGGCAGTCTTTTACTATTTCCCCGTTGTACAGGTTGCATTGAGAGGAGGTTATCTAAGGATTCTGTGACTGTCCAAGACGAAGATGAAGCGGATTGGATCTGCTTTGTATGGGCGCTGGAGCCTTATCAACAACACAGCTGGAGTCCGACTTATCCAGATGAGGGAACCATAAGCTTTCAGACACATAAACTGTTGAAGTAGAGCCTGGAACTACGTGGTCAGTACCTATCTTGTCGGTGAATCATGGAAGGAGATAATATACAATTGGAGGGTATGCCAGCCAGCCAGATGTTCTGACAATACCCCCAGCGGAATATATTTTTAGTTGACAAAAAAATTGGCCGCTTCCAGTTCAAGTGAAGAAGTGCGCCACTGAACGCTGAAGGCTGTCCTCAGACTTCAGCAGCGTCAAGTTAGAGATAGCTTTTGTCCCTAACCGACCATACTCTATGTATTGCATCATATTGATGGGTATAACCTCGGTTTATATAAATTCTGTTCTGATATCTGGCAGCCTAAAATGGCGTGTAGTACTACGGAATAGAACACATAGTAATGATAGAATGCGATTCTCCTAGTGTTCTATAGAGCAAGTTACGGCCACAATGGGGGCACCAGATGGGCGATTTCGAGCGAAGCATGAAAAGGCTGATGTTGAGTTGGTTTCCGCATGAGGCAAATCTTGAAGGGCACCGATGCTCCCGATTCACTGATCGTCGATTGCTTGCTTGCTTGGCAACAAACTATCTCGATAGTCTAGCCCACACCTCTTTCTAAAGCTTATCAAATCAGGCCTCAGTACGAGTCGCCGAGAAATGGGTGCTCTTGGCAAATACACAGTATGCCAATCACAAAGACGATCCAACGGCTGGACCCATGGATAGTTCGTTGCCAAAAAGAACAATATCCAAAGAGCTCAATGAACAATACAAACCTAGTCGGCCGCCTGCCTGGTCTCCACGACCCGTCAATGCGGCAAGGGTCTCAAAATACCGAAACAAAGGGGTATATAGCTTTGCAGACTCTCTAGCAAACCGGGAGCCAGAATGGCATTCCACCATTGGAGAAATCAAACTCTGACGACCAAAGCTGGTATCCCCATTGGTTTAGTGCTTAAGCTCATATCAATGGGACATGTGCATATAAGCATGGGTGGAGTGCCCAACTTTCTAGTTTGGCTCTTGCAGCAGCGTCGAGTGGACAGAACTCCTGTATTTACACCCTAACTATGGACGGCGTCAAGCGGTATTACAGCTCCCTCGAAACCCGTCTCGGAAATTGGATCGTCTACGGCGGCCGTGCCCACCTAGGCTACTACTCCCCAGATGTCTGGTGGCCATTTCCGGTCCACCAGGCGCTTGTTGCGATGGAAGATCAAGTGTTTCAATCACTGAATTTGAACCCGGGTGCCCGAGTTCTCGATGCCGGTTGCGGAGACGGCCAAGTGGCGATCCATTTCACGCAGAAGGGCCTGCAAGTGCATGCCATCGATGTTCTCCCAGAGCACGTCCAACAAGCACAACAGAACGTCCGGGAGGCTATTGGTAAAGTTGACTGGAACGCCAAGCACAAGTCAGACACGGTTACGCCCTTGGATGCATTGACGGTCGAGCAAGGTGACTACCATGATCTTCAAACGGTGGGAAAGGGTTCCCTGGACGGCATCTACACCGTAGAGACATTGGTCCACGCGACCGACTTGAACCGCGTCTTGTCAGAATTCTACCGAACACTCAAACCCGGAGGCAGGATCGCCCTATACGAATATGACCACTGGAGTGGCGACGATATTCAGCAAACAAGCCAATCGGAAAAGGAGGCTATGGACAAGGTTCGCTTGCATGGCGCTATCTCAAAGGCGGCAAATGGACAATCCGGGCCGTCACCCTCAGAGGACCGAAGCGAACAAGCTTGCCCACAGCAAGGCTTGGTTGGGATGCTGAACAAGGCTGGCTTTGAGGATGTTCAGGAGAGCGATATTTCGCAAAATGTCAAACCAATGATTCGGTTTCTAGCTTATTTCCTGTACATCCCATCCATGATTGTGTTAGCTTTGGGCTTGGAAGCTTATTTCATCAACACAGTCGCCATCGTCGCCAACTATCAGCGTGGGTGGAAGTATATTGCGGTGACGGCGCGGAAGCCTGCGACGGTATCTGGTCAATGATGTAGTGGTTGAGCTCCCGTGAAAATATCTTTTGCAATCTGTCCAAGTACTTCGTTCATAGTATTGAATGGATTGTCTTCATTGTTACTGAACGTAGTACTGTACACTATTGAAACCGCAGACTCGCTTGACCCAACGCCGTTTATGCACATCTATCAAGATCCAAAAAAAGCAAAGCAAGGCCACTGGTAGGCCCAAATGAGCAATATAAACTGTGGTGTAACGTCTACGCATTAAAGATGGCTTTCATGTCGGCACAAGCGTCGCGATAGAGGATATCTACCTGTTCCTGATCACGCCACGGGTTCGGAGACTTGTCCCAGGCATGCGGTACTTTCTCAATCATCATGGCGCGGACATGCTTGCCAATATCTTGTAAACGACGCACGAATTGCTGGCCTTCATTGAGGAGCATGTCCCATTCACAGATGTACAGAAAGATGTCATGGGGGAGGGCATCGGCGAGAAGGTCATCCGCGGCCCGAACGGGCGATGCATACGGCGACCGGCGGTCCACAAGATCGGGCAAATATGCCTCATCGAATAAATTGGTGAAGAACTCCGGGAGGGTCTTATCGGGCATGATACTCGCATTCCGCCGATGCTCACGGGGTTCTTCAAAATCCAAGATGGGATACCAGCAAAAGATAGCAACGATGTGGACGTCGCTGGCGGAAGCATCGACAAGCTGTTCGGTAGACTCCGCGCGATCCAGCCATGGGTCGCGAGATTCCCGACACATTAGACTGCGGAGGCGTAAAGGTACCGTGACCGCCAGATTGCCACCAGCCGAAAACCCGCTGAGAGCGATGCGTGAGACGTCCAGCCCTAGCTCAATGGCATGGGCAGAGAGATACTGGATCGCTCGCACCCCGTCATCTACAGCGGCGGGAAACGGATGTTCGGGGGCTCGACGGTATCCGACGCTGACCATGACGGCGCCCACTTCCGCCAGGACGGACTGGGCCCAGCGACTATCATCGGTCGGACATCCTAGGGTGAACCCACCCCCATGAAAGTTAACCACTACTGGAAATCTGCGACCTTCTTTAATACCTTGAGAGTACTCGGGTGGACAGTAGAAGTACAAATCAATCCGTGACGAGCCGGACGGGATGGATCGGACGAAGGAGCGACGAGGCGGCCGTGGGAACGAAATATGGTGGATGAACATGCCAATGCGCATGAGGAACCGCCAAAAGACGGCCTGCACGAGAAGCCACCATCGCGACGACGCCATGACTAACAGAATATAGCCCTTGTCGAAGGGGCGAACACAGATTATCAAGTTGTGGAGGTTGGAGAATCAGAAGGGAAGGAAAAGACGACCATGAATGATTAAGATCAGTACAGAGACGATCGCAATTCACGGAATAGGAAGAGCCGGAAAAAGATTACGGGAGGAAGAAAATTGACTTGGACTCTCGTGGGAGGCAAATGGGGAAAGTCAAAAGAACTGGGGAATAGTAATCAATGGCCTGAATGGATCATGGAGGAACTAAAAAAAAAGCCAAGCCGGGAATGGGGACACCAGAATGTATGTATGTAGGTACGTATGTACGTCTGTATGTAGAGTGGTAGCCGGAGGAGGACGACTTGTCCGGGTTGATAAGGGCACCAGGGGTCACCGAACGGAGGTAGGCAATCAGAAACAGGGAACTATGGGAATTGTCTCATAATCCGATCATTCTAGACGCCAACGCTGTGGAAACTTGGCTTGGTAAGAAATGGTTCATTCATGAGAAATCTGAGAAAGATTCCGAGGCACTCCTGCTGATGACATCACGTTTGTTCCGGACCCTGACAAAAGTCAAAAAGCAACCTTTCTTCTCGCTTCTCCCCTTTCAACCCTTTTCTCCTTTTTAAGTTCGATATTTAACTCTCTGACATCCCCCGCAAGAGTCCCGCGCTTTCAAAAAATCTTACACTCTCCAATTGACCCTGGCCCTCGTCGTAGAGATCGGCTCCCCGACTCGTACCCGTCCCGCTGTGTGCCCCTCCTTCAACGGGGTAAAGCGGCTTTGTCAAAGTTTACTCTTCTGAATGATTCGGTCGTCCATTACGCAAACGCAGTAATCATGTCCATCAAACGCGCCCTTTCCAAGATCGTCCCCAACAAAATTGATACCAATGACTCGTCTCCTGCCCCCAGCAGGCGTTCGGGGTCATTGTCCCCTCGACGCAGTATCCTGAGCGGATTCTTGCGGGATCGTGGCGGCTATGCCTCTTCTTCGGATGATGTTTCTGATGACTCTTCGTCCCCCACTACCGGGACGATGAGCAAAAACCAGCAGAAACGCCTTGCGCGTCAGCAGCGCCGACAACAGCGCTCTCGTCTCAGCGAGGAGCATCACTCTGAAGAATCTGAACGTCACAAGGAGGCTGTTGCAGCTGCCGCTCGTGAAGAGACTGCAGAGATGAAGGCTCGCTATGGCGAGCTGCCCCTCCTCCAGTCGCGCACTCGCCAGCGGGAGCTCCGGACCAAGTTTGAGAATATCTCGGCGGACTCGGTGGGCAAGGAGGTCCTCTTCACGGCGCGTTTGCATATCATCCGTCGCATGAGTGCCAAATTGGTTTTCCTTGTTTTTCGCCAACAGCTTTGCACTTTTCAGGGTGTTTTGCATGAATCCCCCGGAAAGAGCTCCATCGCCATGGTTCAATGGGTCGAACACCTGCGTGTGGGCTCTATAGTGCAGGTTCGTGGCACGGTTCAAGCCCCAGAGGTGCCAGTGCTAGGGTGCACCATTCATGATGTTGAACTGGCCATTGATGCGATTCACGTTGTCGTTCGGCGGGACGAACCGGTCCCGTTCAGCGTCTATGAGGCCGAGATCCAGACCCCCGAGGAAGAGCGCGTTGAAGGTCGGCGTAGTCACATCCCTGACCGCACGCGTCTAACCAACCGTTTGCTGGACTTGCGTACGCCCACATCTCAATCAATCTTCCGCATTCAATCAGCGGTGGGAAATCTGTTCCGGACCGCCCTTGATGAGCAGAATTTCATCGAGATTCATACACCCAAGCTGCAAGGGTCCGCCACTGAGTCTGGAGCCAGTGTATTTGAGGTAAATTACTTTGGTCGTGATGCTTTCCTGGCTCAGAGCCCCCAGTTGGCCAAACAGATGGCCATCGCGGCGGACTTCGGTCGAGTGTATGAAATTGGCGCTGTGTTCCGCGCGGAGAATTCCAATACCCATCGCCATTTGACAGAGTACACTGGACTGGACATTGAAATGGCAATTGAAGAGCACTACCATGAGATGCTGGAGGTTCTAGATGCTGTGATCAAGAGTATCCTGAAAGGCGTCTATGGCCGCTTCCGTCGCGAGATCGAGATTGTGAAACAACAATTCCCGTCCGACGACGTCGTTTGGCTCGAAGAAACGCCAATCATCCGGTTCTCCGACGGTATCAAGATGCTCAACGACTCCGGGTGGCGTGATGAGGAGGGAAATCCCTTGCCGGTAGATGATGACCTACATACTCGCGATGAGATTCGCCTCGGCGAGCTCGTCAAGGAGAAGTACGGCACGGACTACTACATTCTCGACAAGTTCCCCATCGGTGCACGTCCTTTCTACACGATGCCCGATCCTGATGACAACCGCTTCACGAACTCCTTTGACATCTTCATTCGGGGCCAAGAGATCGTCTCAGGCGGTCAGCGTATCCATGATCCCCATATGCTCGAGGAAAATATGCGCCGTGTGGGCATCAATCCTGACACCATGGAGGAATATATGGAAGGCTTCCGATGGGGCGCACCTCCCCACGCCGGTGCTGGCGTGGGTCTGGAGCGTTTCTTGATGCTTCTTCTCAAGTTGGGCAACATTCGTCTCGCCTCTCTCTTCTATCGTGATCCTAAGAGTTTCCCCGCTAAGCCCCCAACTTTGCAATTGCGGCACCCAGAGTCCTCGACCGTCGAACCATCCTGGGTCCGCGACAGAAAAACTCACTTGGCGCCCGATGAGAGCCACCTGCAGCCGATAGAGCATCTCATCGCGAATTATGGTGATGCGACCTCTACATCATGGGGAGATGAGCGATTCAAGATCTGGCGTGACATGGCGACCGGCGCAGCAATCTCGTACGTGCCTAGCACCAGCAATTATGCAGTGATCCCAGGTGATCCTCTGTGCGACGCTCGGCAGTATTCGCGCGTGATCACTCAGTTCCTGCAATGGATGCGCCGGGAGACCAAGTATAAACCCGTTTGGCTCTTATGTTCCCCTCAGGTTGAGGCGATCCTGGGCGAGAAGCTTGGCTGGCGTAGTTTGTCTTGCATCGCAGAGGAGCGTGTAGATCCGTCCCGCAACCAAGCTGCTTCAGATGGCGAAATTGCTCGGAAGATCCGACACTCGGAGAGCGAGGGTATCAAACTCGTGAGCATGAATCAGGGTGAGATGGTACCGGACAACATCCGCGAGAAGATTGACCAGCGCATCCAAGACTGGCTGTCCAACCGTAAAGGCACTCAAGTGCACCTGTCTGAGATTCATCCATGGCGTGATCATGCCCATCGCTGGTATTTCTATGCGGTCGACAAGGAAGGTACTATTTGTGCCTTTGTCGCTTTGGCCACCCTATCCCCATCCCATGGCATGCAGGTGAAATACAGCTTTGACTTCCCCGGGTCTCCCAATGGTGTCATTGAGCATATCGTTACTCACGCCATCCAGACAGCGGCTCGGTCCGGAGTCAAGTCGCTTACTTTTGGTGCTGGCGCCACCACCACTCTTACTCCGGGGCACAACATGCACGGAGCCAAGGTGAAGATGCTGCAGCATACCTATGAAACCTTGGCGAAGCAGTTCCATTTGGTTCGCAAGAGCGAGTTCCGTGCGAAACTGGGAGCACAGGACGATCCCCTTTACATTGCCTATCCACCTCATGGGCTAGGGTCGAAGGGTATCCGGGCTGTCCTTCACTTTTTCGAAGATTAATGTTCTGTCTTCTTATGTCAGGCGTTTATGACAGAGGGCTATTCTTGACAGATTTGTTATTTTGAGCATTTCAACCCTCCCCGCAACATATTCCCCATGTTGTTATGCTGTTTCGTTTGCTTTTCTTTTGGTTCTTTCCAAATAACGACCCATTCCCTCATGCCCTCATGATTCTTATGTGTTTCTGAAATTATGTTATGTTAATCCCTCGCCACGCAAGTAATACATCTAGATGAGGCCATTTAAAACTTAGAGTTTGCATAAATTGAGCCAGATGATATTCAAGCATTTTGCCATTGTTCTTCCAGAATTTTACAGACAACCAATACATATATATATATTTACCTTAGCTCATTACTTATCTTTCTTATCATCCGGGTGCTGTGAGTTCATGTAATCAACGACCCTTCCCAGCTCTCCCAACACCCACCATCCGATCACCACCGCTAAGCATCCAACAACAAATATATAACATGCCGTCGGTACCAGCGACTGCGGGAAGATGTTCCATAAAAAGGGATCGAGGATGATGTCCGCTGCAACCGGGGGGACATTCTCCATTAGTGTCTTATTAAGAGAAAAGTAGTCCGCCGCCGCAGTGACACGAAGGAAGAGCACTGAATCAGAGGTAGGTGCTTGATCATGAAACGAGGACAATTTGCGAGGAACAGCGTTAGACTGAGGGGAGGCGAGATGGGCTTGGGAATAGAGGCTGATCGAGGAGAAGAGGGCGGGATTATCAATGGCTTGTGGAAGGGTGTGCGTTGCTAAGGTAAAGACCGTCGGTTCCTTTGACTGCTTGTCAGCTAATTTTCTTTGATCGCCTTGCTGGACATCGATGGAGGGTATACAAGGACGTACAGTGGCCAACCAACACACCCGCACCTCATACCGTTGGCCGGGGTTCAGGTTCTCGAGGAAATACCATGAGTCTGTACCCGGGGACTCGTTGGTCGGAAATGTAGCGTTTATTCTGGTTCGAAGAACGGGACTAGAGGGGGAGAGACGATCTAGACCTAGGTCATCGAGGGTAGGATCGACCGTGGGGATGGTGAGGGGTTGCGGAGCGATGAAGATCGTTTTCTCGACATTGGCGACGGCGAGGAACGCGAGGGTGCAGATTAAGAAAAGGTATTGGAGTAGCATCATGACAACGATTTCAATATGTTCGATTGCTGCTTTTGCTAGACGGTCATGGTTTTAATCCATACGCAGTCAGGTACGGTAGACTGGCTGTATGTATATATGCAATAGGTGAGGTAGATCTGATATAGACGTTAAATTCCTAAAGACCTTAGATGGGATGGATTCAGTGCCAATACAAACTTACTATCAATTAGACCATTGTGTAGCAGTCTCGGTGACGAGAAATAGAGCACTATCTGTCTGAGCTCCAATCGACGTGAGTACTTTCAATAGTACATACCTCTGTCGCAAGCTGTTCGGATACTACTAGTAGTCAATGCAATACAGCTGCAGGAAGACATGCCGTCATTCACACGTGATTGACCCTTGCCGTGGACTAAACCTAAAAGAATAGCTGAGTCAGCGGTGGGCTGGAAGGGCGGTCACGGAATGGGCAGGGCCAATCAGAAAAGGAGTTGTGGACGACGCGACCCAACGGATGGATCAACAACGAAAAGGTGGAAGTCCTGCTTTTGGGTTGACAGCGCATCGCAAGACCACAACAAATTGACCGATCTTTCGGGCCTTGGGCGATTGTTTAATTGATCCCCCTAGTCTATTTTTCTCCTCGTCAATCACCCCAAGGGTTTGTTCTCCTCCCCCAATTTCCTCCCACCGGTTCCCCTTTCCCTCTCTTTTGTTTCTTCTCCCAGGTGGTGTTTTTTTCGTTTACTTACCCCTGAAACTTCCTTACAGATCAGGGCATTTTCCCCCCTCTAAAGTCCTTCCACATTCCACCCACTCCGTTTCACACACCCCCCTCCTTCCAATCTTAATTCCTTTGTCACTCCGACATTCGTCCCCTTTAGACTCGACAAGATGAGAGAAGTTATTAGTTTGAACGGTATGTGTTTTCTCATCTTTTCCTCACACCGCCTCCTCCACGGGAGTCGGTCTGTTGACCGTTACTAATTGTTTTTTTTTTACGTGTGCAGTTGGTCAGGCTGGTTGCCAGATCGCCAATTCTTGCTGGGAGGTACGAAGAGAGAAATATACTAGAAGATAGAGGTGATCGGAATGTAACCGCTGAAACTAACACTATGGTTCTCTAGCTCTACTGCCTTGAGCACGGCATCCAGGTATGTGATCACGATGACAATCCATCCATCTTCATCTCAATCGGGCAGATAGACTAATCGGTATACGATAGCCCGATGGTTACCTGACCGAGGAACGCAAGAAGGAAGACCCTGACCATGGTTTCAGCACTTTCTTCTCCGAAACTGGTACGTCGCCTTGACTTGTTATCTTGCCGCCGAACTCTCTAACAGGCCATCGTGTCCTAGGCCAGGGCAAGTATGTTCCTCGTACCATCTACGCCGATCTGGAACCCAATGTTGTCGATGAGGTCCGCACTGGCACCTACCGTACCCTTTTCCACCCCGAGAACATGATCACCGGCAAGGAGGATGCCTCAAACAACTATGCCCGTGGTCACTACACCGTTGGCAAGGAGATGATCGACCAGGTCCTCGATAAGGTTCGCCGTGTGGCCGACAACTGCGCTGGTCTCCAGGGCTTCCTCGTCTTCCACTCCTTCGGTGGTGGTACTGGTTCCGGTTTCGGTGCTCTCCTGATGGAGCGTCTCTCCGTGGACTACGGCAAGAAGTCCAAGCTGGAGTTCTGCGTCTACCCTGCCCCCCAGAACGCCACCTCCGTTGTTGAGCCCTACAACTCCATCCTGACTACCCACACCACCCTTGAGCACTCCGACTGCAGTTTCATGGTTGACAACGAAGCCATCTACGACATCTGCCGCCGCAACCTTGGCATCGAGCGCCCCAGCTATGAGAACCTGAACCGCCTGATTGCTCAGGTTGTCTCCTCCATCACCGCCTCCCTGCGTTTCGATGGTTCCCTGAACGTGGATCTCAACGAGTTCCAGACCAACCTGGTCCCCTACCCCCGTATTCACTTCCCTCTCGTTGCCTACGCTCCCGTCATCTCCGCGGCCAAGGCCTCCCACGAGGCCAACTCCGTCAACGAGATCACCATGTCTTGCTTCGAGCCCAACAACCAGATGGTCAAGTGTGATCCCCGCAATGGCAAGTACATGGCTACCTGCTTGCTCTACCGTGGTGATGTTGTGCCCAAGGAGACCCACGCCGCCGTTGCTACCCTCAAGACCAAGCGTACCATCCAGTTCGTTGACTGGTGCCCTACTGGCTTCAAGATCGGTATCTGCTACCAGCCCCCTAAGCAGGTTCCTAACGGCGACCTTGCCAACCTCAGCCGTGCTGTGTAAGTTCCCTATCTCCCTCCCCCCGTGCAAAATGTAAGAGATCTGACCCGTTATAGCTGCATGCTGTCCAACACCACCGCTATCTCCGAGGCCTGGTCCGCTCTCGACCACAAGTTCGACCTCATGTACTCCAAGCGTGCTTTCGTTCACTGGTACGTTGGTGAGGGTATGGAGGAAGGTGAATTCTCTGAGGCCCGTGAGGACCTGGCTGCCCTCGAGCGCGATTACGAGGAGGTCGCCAGCGACTCGCTGGAGGAAGAGGTTGAGGCTGAGTACTAAGTCTAAAACACCGCTCGGTCAGCATTCCGACCATGGTTGCGCTCAACCATGTTTTCGGACGCTGATAGCGATTGTTTCCGAGTTGTAGTGCTGGGGACAGGTGTTGGCCAAGGTTAAGTGATTGAACCGCCTGCAAATAAGAGAGAAGCTTGGATTAGCACAGACTTTGTTTTCTTTGTCTGATATATTTTTAATATCCCTGAAATAGCGATGAATTTACCGCTCCTTCCACATGTAGCTCTTGCACGGTAGAATATGGCTAAGAATGCAAAGGTGTGATTGAATAGTAAAGCTGTATTCGTATACTGAGGACCACCGGGGACAAGACTGGTCACTTACAGTAGCTCACTGACAGAGTAAATTAAGGCAAGTTCATTGCCCTGTATCCTTCATGCAAGCGACTTCACCATGGGTCGCTGCCTAAGCTCCATACTAATCAGTAGTTGGGTTGAGGGTGTCTGACCGCCCGGCAGAAACCCCCCGGACCCAAGCCTAAGCTACGGAAGTACTAGTAAATGAACCCAATCCCTCATTTCTCCCCCCTCTAAGTGAACGCTGCCCTTCTTCCAGCTTGTTGCAAGCTCTCGGCAACCCTATCCCGTCCATATTTACTTACTTGTACCATTCTTTAACCCCCCGTTCTAAAGTGAAAGTGCCATCTTTTTCTACTATCGCAACTCGATCGGGGCAGTAATTTCCGCCATTCCGTCCAACGTTACCTCATCCAGAAGGCAGCGCTTTGACCATCCATGCCCGTGGCATCTTCTGGATAAGTTGGCAACCCTGAAACGTTGAAGACCCCTTGTCGAGCATCCCGGGAAGATTGCTTAGAAAGAGGGGAGGCTTGTTCCTCCGGAATTACAGCTATGGCTGACAACAGTAAGTCTTGCCAGCAATGACGCAACTCAGATGCGGGTGGGAAAGCTCTCAGGGGATGGGTGCACCCGTATGCGATGGATACAGCGGAACTGACGGGTTTCCTTTTTACTTCCAACAGCACGACACCCAAACCTCAATCTGACTCCTGAGGAAAAACGCGTTTTTTATCAGCTCTTCCAAGCTGCCGACACAACTAATCTGGGTGTCATCACTGGCGAAGTCGCCGTCCCTTTCTTTGAAAAGACCAAGTTAGCCCCCGACACTCTCGGCTTGGTACGTCGATGCACAACGAGTTCCACTGCACACTCCCTGGTATCCCTACGGAAGGACCATAGCTAACAGTATCTGGGGTGTGCTGTAGATATGGCAAATTGCGGATAGGGAGAATCGCGGTCTCCTGACCCCCGCTGGGTTCGGTGTTGTCTTGCGGTTGATCGGGCACGCTCAAGCCGGCCGTTCCCCGTCAGAGGAATTGGCTTTACAACGTGGGTTACTCGCTACTGTTTAGTTTGTATTCTTGTAGAATTTCTGAGAGCATGATGTTGACTACAATTTTGACCAATTTAGCTGCGCCGCTACCCAGGTTCGATGGCATTCAAGTCGATACCTCTGCCCCTACTCGTGAGGCAGGCGCAACAAGTCCTCCTCCAACTCCTGGAGCATCAATCCGTGTTCCCCCGTTGAACCCAGATGATGTGAATAAGTTCTTGTCGCTGTTTGAGAAATCGGACGTCTCCAGGAGTGGTGTTCTCTCAGGCACGCAATGCCCACACTTCAAGAAGGGATAGATCTCAGCTAACCATGTAAATGATTATAGGCGAGATAGCTAAACAAATTTTCGAACGCGCAAGGCTGCCCAATGAAATCCTTGGCAGAATATGGAATCTCGCAGACACCAAGCAACGTGGTGCCCTGGATGCGACCGAGTTCATCATTGCTATGCACCTTTTGACCTCCTACAAATCAGGTGCAATGAGAGGAATTCCTCAGACCCTACCGCCGGGTCTATATGAAGCCGCTGCGCGAAGGGGATCTAGCCGTGCTTCCATTGGTTCCCGTCCTGGACTTGATGTTCCCCCGGTGCCCGCAATTCCAAAACAATTTACTGGACCACAACGGACACAGAGCCCTATCAACAGGCCTTTTGGGTCCCCCGTTTCTACACAGTCTACCGGTGCTGATTGGCTGATCACTCCTCACGAGAAAGCACAATTCGATAGTATCTTCTCAACCGTTGATTCCGCAAAGCTTGGCAAACTCACCGGGGACCAGGCTGTGACTTTCTTCATGAATGCGCAACTACCCGAGGAAACCCTTGCTCAAATTTGGGATTTGGCCGATATCGATGCTGATGGACAACTAACGAAGGATGAATTTGCAGTTGCTATGTATCTGGTTCGTCAAGTACGCAGTGGAAAGGAGCCGCTCCCACAGGTTCTGCCTCCAGCTTTGATTCCGCCGAGTATGCGTCGCCCTGGCTCTGCTCAGATGGCCCCGGCTCCTATACCTGCGCAGGCTACGGGTATGGCTCAAGCAGCTGCCCCTGCACCGGTTGTTCGGTCGGCCGCAGATGATCTGTTCGGTCTCGACTCTCTCTCAGCCCCGACTCCGGCTGCAGCTCCTGCGCAGGTACCCCACTCTACAGGTGGTTCGAATGTACCATTCCAGATGCCTGCTTCCCCAACATCTCGAGCATCCCCCCCAAGCACTTCAACAACCTTCAAGCCTTTTGTCCCGACCTCATCCTTTGGGCAAAGCCTTCAACCACAGACGACGGGTGCCTCATCCGGTGTTGGCCCCACCGCTCGTTCACCTGCG